TTACTCATAAAATACATTTCTTTTGGAAAATTATAAAGCGTTTAAGCAACATTATATATATAACTGCAACATTATATATAAAACAGAATGACCGGAGGTAATATGAACCTTAAAAGGACCAAATTGAACAGGTACATTTATTAATTCCATACTTAAAAATCTACAACATTCACTGTTTTCCGAATGTCAATACCATTCAATTAAAATTAAATATAAATAGTTAAAAAAAATATTCGAATAAACTTAAACTACAAAATTTCTTTTTCAGGGATGATGAAACTATTTGAAGATCAACTCAAGACATAAAATGCTATTACCTGCTTCCGTCTGACATTTGATATATTCATTAGTTTTATTTATAAAGTAGTAGAACTCTTCAGATTCGGGAGGTAGACATCCACAGACTTCCCGCATCGCTGAGTGGATGCAAATTTTGCGACATTCCTGAAAGTACATTCAAGTAAACTAAATAACATATTCTGAGAGATTGACTTTCACGGACTATTTCTAAGATAAAACAGTTATAAACTTTGTTGACGTTACACCAAATTTCAGTAACTAAAATGATTATCACTAAGCAATACAATATAACGTTTTTAAAAGTTTATTTCAATTTGATTTTTTGTGTATACTTTAGATAAGTAATTATGGTGATGTGTGGAAAAGTGTACGGTAGGTTATAAAGCATAATGTGGCAATTGACTCTTTTCTATAGTTGTGATCTTGTCTTCTGTTCAAAGAATAAGAACTTCAACGAAGATTTCTAAATTTGAACTCACAAATTTATTTTGCAGACACATGGATTAAGGTTGTGTCTATGTTTTCTGCATAAGTTCATACACAGATAAAAGCAAATACGCACAGTTTTTATTCCTCAAAATTAAATTTTTTTTTCATAAAAATATTATCTTAAGAAAGGGCCGATTTTGGCGCTGAAAATTTTAGCGAAAAAGTGTATGTTTATCTTTTTTCCCAGGAAGAAAATTAGGCATCGATAGCCCGCCCTACAGAAATCTGACCTCCAAAAAATAGCATTCTGGGAAACTAGAATCAATCTAGATGTGAAATTTTGTTTATTTAAGGAATAGCTACTGTCGTTTGACCAGTTAAGAATTTTGATCAGTTCCGAATAATTAATAATTTAAGAGCTGATAATTAAAAAATTCAAAAGTGTAAACATAAATTCATACATATGGCATGAAGGCTTATTTATGAGTGTTAGAATTATGTGAAGTTTTGATTTTTTGCCGTCAGTTTGTGTTCGCTATCTTTCTTGAAACAGGCGACATACTTTTACAATGCAACAAATCTGAATCACTGCAACGCGTTTGTCTGCAGTAAAACGTCTGTAAAGACGCCAATTTTTCACATAAAACAACATTTCAACTATCAAAAGTAAGTTTCATATGTATTTAAACAAATACCAAAAGCTTGCCGAAAATAAATAATTAGATCACCGGAAGATATCGGAATATTTTCGTGTTGTCATTTTACTAGTTCCGAATACCCATTATAAACACTATATATGTTATTTCTTCATTGTAAATGTGACTGTTATTTCTCTTTATCCTTTGGAAATTCCACTTACTTACTGGTAAGCATTTATTTTAACTTTTCCTAGGCATGTCAATTGATAATGTGTTGGACGGATATTTTTAATTTAGGGTCGAATTGCATGGGAACAGCTAAGGTATTTGGAACTCGTCGTTTTATTCTTAACTAGTAAAACGAGTACTCATGTTAACTTGCTAATTAAAAAACTTCAATGACGTCACCCATTGTTATTGGTCTACTTATATTTTACCGATTCAACCATCACTAGTTGGATATTTAAAGATCCAACTGGCCATCAGTTGGATATTCAAATATCCAACTGCCTATCGGTTGGATATTTAAGCATCCAACTGTGCATACAAACATAATTAAGCAATGAACAAAAGAGATAAAAGAGTTGAAAATGTATTTCCAATGCATATAAAAACAATTACTCCGAATTTGTTACACTGTTAGAACGGGATTTTAATCACCTTTTTCACACCATTAGAATTGTGTTAAAAATGTACTTTCAATGCGCACAAAAATTAAAATTCCACCGAATTTTGCACACTGTTATCACTTGTCGTCAATAAATATCCAATACTTATCCGATGGTATTTTAACAGAATGTTTCCGGTCTTAAATTTTGAAAGCATCACTTTTTGACATGCTTATGAATACATTTTCACCTTGAACCTTAATCCACATCACTTCCTGTTGCTGAATGTTATTTCAGGGATGCGTTATTAGCAAATCCTCTCAGATTTTTAGAGGTTCGTCTCTGTTCTCATACTTTTCCAGCGCACTTCCCAAAACAATTTAATTAATTGACACCCAATCTATTTTTGTCACCCTTTTTATTGCAAATCCTAATATGGAATATTTTTAAAGCAGGTTCCGCATAAAACCGACAATCTTTTCATCTGTTATAGCACTACTAGAAGTATTGTCCGAATGGAGCCGATTCCATGACTGTTCAGAACAATGGAAAGGTTTGAAATGACATTAGCACCATGCGGTTTCATGCTCACTAGTCCATGAATAAAAGGGGTGTTCGATTAGGCTATTGTATTGTGTCACTGTTGGATATCTGAATGGGCTAGATCCCATTGTATTACAGCAAAGTTGGATATATGAATGGGTAAATGTTTCTTTGGGGTCCAAAGTGGGGAAGTTTTTTAAGTAAGATAAATAACTCGATAGTGTTGAATAGTTTAGAGAAAACATCCCTTCGGCCCTCGGAGGGAATGTTTTCTCTAAACTATTCAACACCATCTCGTTATTTATCCATTACATAAAACAGTTTTTTTGAAAGGCTGAACTTTTATGAAACAACATTTAATTCCGCAAGTCATTGAACTACTTTCACAAACAAATTAGATTTTGAAATAATGCCGTCATTTAATGGCCAATGTAATGTACATGTGAATTATAAAAGCCCTAATGTATATTTATAGCACTACCTAATCGGTTCCCTATTCGCAACTGGTCAAACGACTGTACCTGTATACTGTACAACCTGTGTTGGGACAGTTTGCGCTTTATAAGCCGCGAAGCTATTGAATTTATTCCATATAATTTAATTTTCCATCATTAAGTGTAGAAAATAAGATAATTCCTCCTTCAAAAATACCTTCAACTTGGTCATATCTTAAATGTAAAGTCAAGCGGATTGATACGTTTTTGGCGTGTCATTGTGACGTAGGCAACACAAGTTATATGATATAACTAATTTTCTTGTCCATTCAAATGAAGCAATACAACCAAAATTAAATTATATATATACTTAAAGCCAATTTTTACGCCATTCAATCTATTGAAATTTTACATAAAACATACACCACCTTAAGGCTTTAGAAATGTAGCATGATACATGTAGCAACAGGAAATGAAAATAATAATTTATTTTTTTAAATTACCAACTATAGTTGGTTTACTACGGAAGCCCATTTCTGACCTATCGAAAAATATTTTTGAATTCGATATAACGAATTGTTAAATTTTGTCATAACGAATTTAATTCGTTAAAACAATTTTTTGAATTCGCAATCATGAATTAAATTCGTTATAAGGGATCTGTTGAATTCGTTATGACGAATTCAAAAAAAAAATGTTATAGCAGATTAAACGAATTCTTAAATTTGTTATCATGAGTTAAATACGTTTAATCAAATTCAACAATTAGGATCTATAGAAAAAAAGTATATAGATTTGATATAACGAATTGTCGAAATCGTTTAAACGAGTTTAATTCGTTATAAAAATTAAAGAATTCCTTTCAACTAACTTAAGTTGTTATAACAAGTCTTAGAATTCGTTAAACGAGTTTAATTCGTTATAACAATTTTTCGAATTTGTTATAACGGATACAACAAATTTGTTATGACAGATTAAATTCGTTTTAACGAATTCAAAGAAATTGATATAACGGATTAAATTCGTTATAACACATTCGACAATTCTTTTTATTATACTTTCATGTTAAATACTAAAATCTGATTGGTTTAGACGCATTTAACAATCCGTAATGTTACCCTCAGCGTTAGCAACACACCTGACAACGGGTAACATTACGAAAATGTCACATGCGTTCAAATCATGCATGTACGGTTCACCGTAGAATTCTCAAAACGTCAGTTGTGCGTTTGAAAGAAGCCGAATAAACGACGTCAATAAAAGCTTGCGTCCGATGTAGCTTACTTGAAAACAACAAACGACAGACGAAACATCCTTGCGAGTGCAAACTTTAGATGATAAAGGACTTTTTGAGTAGCAAACAAACAATAAAGAGGTTGGTAAATCTTTTCTGAAGCTTTCTTATTGAGAAAAATAGAAGCGGGGAGTTTGAAAGCTTTCTAAGCGTGAACTAATTAACGACGATCTCCGAATTTTCTTTATGATATCCGAAATCAATAAGAAATTCAGTATAATAAAATAAATAGTGCACGTTTTTGAGGGTAACAGTTGAAATTGACACCCCTTGGAAAACGATTGTCAACCTCCGCTGACGCGTCGGTTGACAATGGTTTTCCTTGGGGTGTCAATCAACTGTTACCCTCAAAAACGTGCACTATTTATATAATATCATATTCAAAAAATATTTTTTCATAGGTCCTAAATGGCCTTCCGTAGTTTAGAGGATATATATCCTTTTTTTAACACCACCAAGACTACACCATCTTATATTCACCAATGAAATTTACTAAAATAAATCATTTAAAATATTGATCAGTTTGCATATACTGTACTTTCATTATATTTGGAAATAATTTACATGAAAACATGCCCGTAAAAATGTTTTTCAAAATGGAAGAAGGGGGGGGCAGTCCTTTAAAAAAAGACAAGGAAAAAAACATTGACCGTCAAGACTGGAAAATCCTATTTCATGGGTGTTGGGGGACGGGGGGGGGCAAGCAACTTATAAATGGAAATTTTGATATTAAAATATATATGAAGTAGCTTACATCTCGGGTGTATTTTAACCCATTTTTCTTCTCAAATTCAATTCCGTCTTCACACTGTCTGTAAGGGGGAGTGACTCTTTTAATATCTCTCTGAAAGAACATGTCAATATTAAATTAAACTTACCAGTATTATTGACATTTTATAACTGGGAAACGTAAAAAGATAGCGTAGTGCATGCAAAACAGTAACATTGTATATCAGTTCCCTGATTCGTCTTCCCTTACCACCCGTAAGCCTATATTTGAATGGAAGCTAGTTGGTATTGATAATCCTTTGTCGTATGGATTAGGAAAGCTTCCTGGCTGGTGTACATGTAATCGTAACCCATAGCCCTGGCTGATCGAATCAATGTACTCGTCGTTTTCGGTGAAGAATATGAGAGAAAGACCTATTGAATGAGAAATGCCATTAAAAATTTAAGAAGAGGTCGAAAGGACACATCATGATGTCCTCAAAGGATCGTAATTATCTGTGTCTTTGTATTCTTATCAGCAAATCCTATAAAAAAAAAACACCTCTTGTACAGGTCAATAATAAATAAATAAAAAAAGAATAAATAAGAAGAGGCCCAAGGGCTTTAACAGTCACCTGAGTATAATGCAAAATAGAAGTATAACCAAAATGAATAAACTCAGAGATGAAGCTATGTTGCCAAAGAGCAAGAGAAAGATGAAAAGGGACCAACAAAATACATGTAATAAGTCCAGTAACGAATCTTACAGTAGATCTTTCTACTTGCCTGTACTTGCCTCCATTTGTCACTATCATCATCAAACTAAACAAAACAATAGTGCTTGAGCACTATTATTTAACCAATCTCATTCCCTGTCAAATTGGCTTCTCTTGGTCTTTAAAGAACATTAAATACATACAAAGATAAGGTATTTTTGTTTTTTTTTTTAATTATCTATTATTTACAAGTTTTCTTGATCAATTAAAACAATGAAAGTACTTTTTGTAAGATATATTTAAAAAATTGTCAGATTCTCTTACTCTATATTGACCTTTTAATGACATTATTTATAAATATCAAAGGGGAATGGGAAAATGGGAAAAAAACTTCTCTCAGAAGAAAACCAATTCATAGAGCTCCGCCCAACACCAGCACACTTGACAGAGTGGTCCAGAATTTGACATATGTTGTAAAAATACCCTTGCTTATTACAATTTTGTACTCTGTTTTCCCAGGATCAGAGCACAAAATTTTGAAAGAAATAATGCATTTTCACTACAGACTCAACACAGCCCCACCCTAACACCAAAACCCCGAATCACTGGCCATGGAATTCACAATTTTAGATAAAGCACACTTGCTCATTATTACCATTCACCTAGTTTATCTGCTTAATACCTAGAAGCCGAGAATAAGATTTTCAAAGAATTAATGCATTTTCATTTTATAATCAATACAGTCCACCTTAACACCAGAACTCCTGACCCAGGGGCCGAGAAACTCGATATTTTGGAAGAAGCACCCTTGCACATTCTAACTATGCATTTAGTATGTTTGCTAAATACCTTGAGTTATAGGAGAAGATTTTCAAAGAAATAATGCATTTGCACTGCCCAGGAGCGGAAGAGAAAATGTTCGAGGAATTCATGCATTTTCACTTTATGATCAATACAGCCCTGCCCTAACACCAGAACCCATGACCCTAGATCAATGAAATTCTTAATTTTAGAACAGACACCTTTACTCAGCATAACCATGTACTTAGTTTGTCTACTAAGTATAAATGTAGAGAGAAGAAGATTTTTGAAGAATTTATACATTTTCTCTATATGATCTATAGTGCCACACTCAACTAGACTCCCTGATCATGTGGTCATAAATTTCACAGTTTCGGTAGAGGGTCCAATGCTTATGATAGTCATGCTAACAGTTTGATGCATGGTATCCTAGAGAAAAGAAGAAGATTTATAAAGTTTGTGCATTAATTTTAAAGGCTTTAGACATATCCCTCAGGCCTTAGAGGGACAGGAACCATGAAATTCAAAATTATTGTTCCATTTCATCAATAAATACTTTTGTCAAATTTGGTTGAATGTAGTTTCTGAGAAGAGGCTGGAAATGTTCGAATGTTCACGGACGATGCACGACGGACCACGACGGAGAAAAACAAATGGCAATAACCATATGAGAGACTCAGGTGACTTAAAAATTTTTAAACAATTTTACATCTTTTCACGTTTACCTCCCAAATGAATCAAAATCAGAATCCAAATGACCCGAGCTTTTATATTTAAATCCTTCTGGAAAAAAGAACTTTAAATTGATTTTTATTAAGTAACTGGCCAAATATCTTTGACAAAATGGTCGCAGTCCAATGAACTCATTCTCGTTTTGCAACTGCGCTGTGCACAGTGATGTATCGACAATCAACCCAGCAACCTAAATTTGTAGAAACATCTATAAGCAAAGGTGATATTCGGACAAAGAATTAGATTGAGGGAGATCAAATCTATTAAACCCCTAATTATGCCACAAATATAATGAGATAAAAAAATTACCTGATTTTGGTCCGGCTTCTTTAGCAATAAATTTTTCTGAATGTAACGTGAAACAGTTTCCGTACTCTGCAGTATTGATTAATGTAAAATCACTGAAAGAAACAAATAACCATGTACATGTATCTCGCGTTTAAAATACATCATTATGACGTGGCAGACAAATATTCTACATTCCTTACTTACTGAGAGTAACATTTATGCCCATTATAGGAACAGTCCATGAGCATGATACCAATCTGGTGTCCCGAGCGAATTCTTGTTGCTCTAATATTATAATAAAAATAATAAAAAATGAAGAAAAAAAAACAGCAATTAAAAAACCGAAGTGTTTAATACACATACGCGGGCGAATACACAACTTTTTAAAGGTGATTACCTGTCTAAATCAAGGTATACTTTCGTGAAATTGACAGCAAATTCATGTAACTCTGACGTATCAGCATTTCTCTGAACAAAAAGAAAAGGGGGGGGGGAGAAAAATGACTTAAAGCAATATGAGCTGCATTTTGGAGAATTTTTTTTTTGCTGTTAAAATGTGTTATTATGATAAATTTGTATGTGATTTCAACCGTTTTGATCAATTAGACAGAAATAAAGTAACAAATGTTTCAGAACAAAGGATTCTGTACGATAAATATATAGTATTATAAGAAATCAATATTATACAGGACGAAAATAATGTAATTTTGCTTCAATCAGAGCTTATCAATTGTTCTTCCATCGCAAATATGAACAACAGAAGTTTATAAACGTTCTTTTTTTCTGTCATTGAAATAGTTAATTACAATTTTGCAACAAAAATTTCTGACAACAAAGTTGCAACTCATATTGCTTTAAAGAAAAATTCAAGCAAAGAATGTATCATCTATGTATAATAAAATCAGCAAATAGAAAAAAAATCTAAAGAATTGTAACACCTTTTTACGACCAGGAGGCGGTTGTCCACCACCAGGGGGATCACCGGGACCACTAGGACCGCCGGAATCACCGGGACCACCAGGACCGCCGGCACCACCAGGACCGCCGGGACCACCGGAACCACCAGGACCGCCGGCACCACCAGGCTAGAAAAAGTAAATAAATAAATATTATTTTATTTTAGATAATTATCATTCCTTCTATATAATTCCATATAATGCCTTCTATATAATTCTTCTAAATGATTCTTAAGAATTTCCGTTTCCAAGCTTTCTCTAGTTGTACTTGCTTTATGAACTTGAGCAAAATCACAAATGGCGACAGATATGAAAAACATCCAACAAGAAACTTTCTTCTACTGGTTTTAAAGTCACAATGCTAACGGATCTCATTTTACATTTAAAGAAAATTCTCGGTGTTTCAACTAAACGAGATTATTGCGGTACTGCTCTATTAAGAGGGCTGGGTGGTTGTGGCCATTTTCAGACTATATTGATCTCCTTTAGAAGAAGAGCTCCATATAAAGATATACAAAAATGATCAAAATTTAAAACTAAAATGTATGAAATTTTTGTTTGCCAAATGATAGTTGACAGCTTAAGATATCATATCTAGAAAATTAAGTTATATCTGATGGTTAATTTGTTGACCCCCCAGCCTCCTTAAATAAGGTTTACTTAACAATTGCTTTTACGTAATATTTCACCAAACTATATTAATTTGCCCTGAAAAAAATATAGTTAAACGGACTATATAGCCCTACAAAATAAATTTTAAAAAAAATGAATGAAAAAAAAAAAAAAATGGAGATTGAGTTTTATATTTTCATTATGACTTACCATTGGATTTCCCGCAGCTATCAGAGCCATGAGTTCCTTGGAGGTAGACGGCACTGCGCTTATTTTAACCACGTTAACATTGCAGACCGTCACTGAGGGAAAGTGTAGATTGTTGAAACCCAAAGAAATTGTGGTTTGTACAGGCTTTTCCAGATAATGAGCTATCAGATAAATAAGATGGTAGGCCATCCACCCCATGGTGGCTAATAGCAAGATAGTCCAGGCCGCCTTGGCATACCATTTTTTAGATTCACGTATATAACCTGGTCCTTGCATGGCAGTCTTTTCCGCAAACCGTCGAAAAATTTTTCCGAGAGATTTTCCCTCACGAGGTTCTTCATCTTCTGCAGACCTAAATAATGAATGTTGAAAATCAAACTTTTTATTAAGGTTTTTGATTTTAAGAAATAATGTAATTAAAAAATACTGTGAACTGTTGGCATTCAATGATTGCTTGAATATTAAGTATGTTCTTATAACACAACGTCTTATATACGCGTACAATACATAGGTATACAATAGACGTCATAAAGATGAACAGTTAGAAATTAAAATACAAGTTGTCAGCACAGCTTTTAAGTATAAGTCCTTAGTACAATTCACTTGTACAATCCATCCAGTAGTGGTCTTACTAGTACAGGGTAGGTTTGAGGGTCTAAAGATCGTTTGTGGTTAGTTTTTGCGTGTGTCTCTCGTCTCTCTCTATCTTCCGCCTGTCCAGTCTCAGAATATATATTAATATTTCCAATCGTCAGTTCATTCATTAACATTGCATTATTATGGAAAGGTTTCTAAATTATTCTGTACATTTATAAAATTGCCTGGTTCAATATGCTTTCAGAATTAATCATGGCCCAAATGTTCAATTATAATATTAAGTATGGTATCAGATCTTATCAAGTCATTTCCCAATACATTGTATGATTATGAAATGGTATCAATAATGTGATGCTGACAACAATTATTAATATAAACGCAGATTCCTAATGATCCTTCGTTCAAATATGAAATTGCATCAATAACAAGTCACGCTGACCAATAATATACCACATCAATATTGAATTACAAGGACATATAAGGATTATTATGCCTTATACACATATGTCCTTCTTAATTAAATACATGAATACAACATTTAGATATATTTAGATATTATATATATATATATATATATATATATATATATATATATATATATATATATATATATATATATATATATATATAATTTCAAAAACAAAATGAAGAACCTGTACAGTTTTGCTGGGCATACTGCCTGAAGAGCCTAACATGGCGAAAGCGCTTGCAGAAAATATTTTGTGATTTTTTGGATTTTTATATATATATATATATATATATATATATATATATATATATATATATAAAGTTAATACAGGTACGAGGAGTTATCAAAAAGTTCGTGCACTGATGCGATAAAATTAATATTATGTAGTCTGTTCTAACAAAATTTAGAGGGAACATGAATCAACAAAAGTTTAAGAAATTTTGAAAATTTTAGCTTGATACGTTGATAATTTGCCATATTATTCTAAAATAAAAAAGACATTATATGATAACCCGGAGCTGTCGCTGTTTAGTTTCATGACGTCCGACAACGTCATTGTTTCTCAATGTTCGCTCTCTCTACCTCGTACACTTATCTTGGTGAGATTACCTGGAGTTAAGTAAGGACTTAAGCCCGCCTTGTTTATATGACTTTACAATGTCATGAATTAACAACCGTTTTCAATGCATATTATATTATAAATGGATCTATACATAGGGAAAGTTCCTCACTTGATTATGACAGAATACTTAGCTTGTTGGAGTTCATTTTCTACCACAAATGATCAACGTCACTTTTTGAAGTGACTGTCTTTTGACACTCTGACTACAAATCGACATTAACAATGCATCTTTCATCTCCCTGAATCTTTTTGGGTATTTCAAACAAATACTCTGGATGCATTTTTTTCTGTAGCCCTTTTAAACATTCCCTATGTCTAAAGCAGTTTTTTTTTCCAGGTGCGAAACTTAATAGAATATTGGAAAAAGAAACCCCTCCCCCCTTTTCAAGCCCTTAATTTTTTGGAACTCCATATAAAATTTACGATAAAATTTCATAGAACTTTCAATGGGGTAAAAATTGCAAATTTTACCGAACAATTGTGTCGTATCACATGCCACATATCACAATTAACGGGATTTTTTCTATGACAAATGTTAATATCAAAAGAGTTTTTCTCAGTTACACTCAGGTAGAAAAAAAGTCATATTTGAGGTTGCACCGACTGGACATACCATTGCTTACAAAAACATTAACAATTTACTAAAAAATAAAGCATGATTTATGTTTATTCTATAGATAGAAAAGATGATGCTCACTAACTGTTTAAAATTGATTGATGTACCTAGAGTGGTTTTAATTTTATGGCGCTAGTTCACGAACTTTTTGATAACCCCCTCGTATATAGTTTTTATATACATGTAAGGTAAGTTCCAATTGTGTTCCATTCTTTTATTTGGTTAAATTAATAAGACACAGTAGGAAAACTGTCTTTTTCAGAATTAACAGGTTGTAGCTATTTCATTTTTTTTTTAAAACTATGAAATGAGATTTTTTTTTATAAAAAACGAACCTATTGTAGAATAAGAAGTAAAGAATTTAAAAGAGGTACTTAAAACAATTCTACTGACCTTTGAATTTTGTTGACAGCTTGCTTCGGTTTGTAAACACAGTAGGGAGGAGAGAACGCATCAACACATTGTCTCCCGGTGTATTCGGCGGGGATGAGTCTTACACCTGTAGGTAATGCATACCTGGGTGGTGGGTTACATCTCTCTCTGTCTGGCCAATACATTTTTGATCAGCCGATGTTAGACAAATGAGTCTTGATTATTTTGTGCATAAATATATATGTATTGATATTTATTGTCCATTTTAAGTTCCTATCAACCATCAGCCCCAACATTATTTTTCTTTTTCAGATTTCAATACAATTTCCTTTTTTAGTTAAGAGTACGGATTACATTGAGTTTGTCACAATAAAGCTCGAGGCATGGAAGATAAGCTTTGCTGAAAGATTATCTAGATATCCGAACTTTTTGTGTTTTGAATTAGTGCGATGATATCTCCAGGCACACAATTAATATTTTTCTAATCTTATTAAAAAATAGCTACAGAGGGAATGGAATTGATAAATAGATGTAATAATATCAATGGTCAGCAGGATTCAGGACTACCAAAAGCACTCAATACATATTTCGTACAGCGTTTTGCTTTGAAATAGTAATTAATTTTACATGCTAAACAGCATTCTATACTAAAATGCTTTCAAAACAAAACGCTAAATAAAGATTTTTAGTCTTGTATTCACAAGCCCACAACCCATCTGCTATAAAAAAAATCACCTGAATAAAAATATGAGGGGGTTATCAAAAAGTTCGTGGACTAGCACCATAAAATTAAAACCACTCTAGGTACATCAATGAATTTTAACACATTTAGTAAGCATAATCTTTTCTATCTACAGAATAAACCATAAATCATGCTTTATCTTTTTTTTTTTTTTAGTAAATTGTTAATGTTTTTGTAAGCAATGGTATGTCCAGGCGGCGCAACCTCAAATATGACTTTTTTTCTACCTGAGTGTAACTGAGAAAAACTCTTTTGATATGAGAATTTATCATAAAAAAATCTTGTTAATTCAGGCATATGTGGAACGACACATTTGCAATTTTTACCCCATTCTGTAAGTTCTATGAAATTTTATCGTAAATTTTATATGGAGTTCCAAACAATTAAGGGCTTGAAAATGGGGAAGGGTTTCTTTTTCCAATATTCTATTAAGTTTCGCACCTGGAAAAACTGCTATAGACCTATAGGGAATGTTTAAACAGGCTACAGAAAAATAAAATGCATCCAGAGTACTTGTTTGAAATACCCAAAAAGATTCAGAGAGATGAAAGATGCATAATTAATGTCGATTTGTAGTCAGAGTGTCAAAAGACAGTCACGTCGAAAAATAATGTTGATGATTTGTGGTAGAAAATGAACTCCAACAAGCTAAGTATTCTGGCATAATCAAGTGAGGATTTTTTCCTATGTATAGATCCATTTACAATATCATATGCATTGAAAGCAGCTGTTAATTCATATAAACAAGACGGGATTAAGTCCTTACTTAACTCCAGGGAATCTCACCAAGATAAGTGTACGAGGTAGAGAGAGAGAGCGAACATTGAGAAACAATGACGTTGTCGGACGTCATGAAACTAAACGGCGACAGCGACGGGTGATCATATAATGTCTTTTTTGTTTCAGAATAATTTGGCAAATTATCAACGTGTCAAGCTAAAATTTTCAAAATTTCTTAAACTTTTGTTGATTTATGTTCCCTATAAATTTTGTAAGGACAGACTACATGGTACTAATGTCATCGCATCAGTCCACGAACCTTTTGATAACCCCTCGTATATCATTGAAAAAAACTTGGTATGAATAAGAATATTTTGTAATAATTGTCAGACTGCATGGCACAAATCAGAGAAAACAAATTAAACTAGTACTGTTCCAAAAACAAAACAAAAAGAATTGATTATTCTAGAAGATAAACTTTTGAAAGAGGTAAAAATAACACTAGAGATAAAATGTTTTAGCCCATTTCAATTAAACACAGGAAGTAATGCAATTCTTGTCGATACTACTTTACAATAGAAATAAGTAATCAATATAAAGCTACAGTGTAAATTGTGCAAAAATTAATGTGAAGATAGATGATAAATAGATGGGATGATTAAAAAATTAAGATGGAAAATTTATTGGATACTTTTAAAAAAAATTTATGATTAGGATATGATAGAATTTACGCTAGTGACAGGCCCGTAGAACTCGGGGGGGGGGGGGGCTAACAATTTTTCTGAGTATAGTGTTTTACTTTAGTAAAATTTAATTTAGATGCTGGTTGGCCCCCTAACTTTTTGATGTAAGGTCGAGCACTGGCAAATTCCTGGATTTGGACAGTAAATTAGCTTTTCTTTCTTTCTTATTTTGCTTCTCAGATAATTTTGGGAAATTGCCCCCCCCCCCCCACCCTCCCACTTTTGGTCAGTTAAGTTTTTTTTTTTTTTTTGCTTGTCAGATTTTTTGGCAAGTTGCCCATGCGCGGATCTAGAGAGGGGGTTGGGGACCCCCCCCCCCTGGAATTTGCAGAGTTATTAAAAGTATATACTGAAGCAAATAAAGAATGACTTTGGACCCCCCCCCCCCCCCGAAAACGTGGACGCCATCATCACCACCATGAAAAAGGTGTTTTTCACGTTTGGGAAATGGAATTTACCACCCCCATTTTTTTGGACTTGTCATGAATTTTTCTGGGTTTAATACGTATGGGTAGGGAATTTTAGGTTCTTTTTTTTTTTTTGCTTGTCAAGAAAATTTTGGGTTGGAAATTTTTTTTTCACTGGGGTTGACCCCCCCCCCCCCCGAAAAAAAAATTCCTGGATCCTGTTGGACCCCCCCCCCTTCCCCACTTTTGAAACCCTTGCTACGGGCCTGTGTGAACCCCAAGTATCAACAGCATGGGCCTATGTGAACCTAAGCATCAAAAGAATGCATGTTGTACGTCCGTTTAAATACACACAGTATACATGTGAAATATAAAATGAATCCCCACTAACTTTTACATTTAATAAGCGCAAAGCTTGTTTTTTGATAAAAAAAAAAAAATTAAAATTCAAACACAGATTAGTAAAAGTTGAATTAGACTTCTGATTAAGACCAAAGACTCTCTGCGATATCTTATTTACTTTTAAAAATCTTTCAGACATAAAAATGCTAAAACAAAACAAAACACACCAATATACAATAAACAAAGCAAAAACAAAGACATAAACCAAACCAAAACGGAACGAAGACAACAGCTCCTTACGAAAAAAAGCAGCCTAGCTGTATATAGGTAAGCATGAAAGAAATGGGACTACATATACTAGAATTAACAGCCATAAATCACTATCTTAATATAAACATACATGATTCATTTCAGTGGTTGTCAATGGTTCAATGATTGTGCTTTCCAATTGCTGAAATACAAATAATCTTTTATATAATATACTTTCCATAACATAGGATAATGAAAAGAAATAGTTTATCGACTTAGTTATTGAAATGAGCTTTATGTGTCATATTTGTAATATTCAAGCTATGTAAATGTTTACAAATTACTCAAGCTGGTTAAATGGTTACAAATGACTGAGAATATCAGATCGTGGGTCAATTCAAAGCTATTCCTTGGGTGCTTATTAAGTAAGGTCTTCGGCAAACTTTCACTGGAGTACAGAAAATAATGTTTTCAGACTACATATAACACATGTGCGGATTTAGAGGAAGGTCGGGGGGGGGGGGGGTTCAGGACCCCCACCCCCCACCCCCCCGGAATTTGCATAGTTATTAAAAGTTATACTGAAGCAAATAAAAAATGACCTTGGACCCCTCCCCCCCCCCTAGAAAACGTGAACCCAACCATCACTACCACATTATAGGTGTTTTTCACGTTTGAGAATTGGATTTTACGGGGTTTTTTCCCTCTTTCTTTTGTTTTATTATTATTATTATCATTATTTGCTTATCAAGAAAATTTCTGGGTTTTATACGTTTGAAAAGGGAATTTATTATTATTATAATTATTTATTTATCATTATTTTTTTTTTTTGCCTGTCAAGGAATTTTTGGTTGGAATTTTTTTTTGACTGGGATGTACCCCCACCATTAAAATTCTTTGATCCGCGCCTCTAACGGTATAAAATATCTGTTAATTTCTTGTTTTGAAAATCTTTCTGTGTGTGTGTTAAGTCACTCCAGACGTCAAACACTGCAGTGACGCCATCCATCACAGAAAGAAATAATTCCCGGAGATTACTAGTGCTACACTGTATGTCTGAAATTTATTATTATCAATGCCGCTCTAAGGTATAAATTTATTCTGGATTAGTTTTTAATTTAGTCATTAGTTTCAGATTTGTTTTAAATTTCCGTGTGATAATGTGATATTTACCAATCAAATCTAAATTCTGCTTACAGTTTCCAAGTCTGAACTGACGAATTCGTGTTTTATTGCCCAATACAACAGAAAATACCGTTACAAAGTAATTACTGTAAGTCAATCAGTTTAAAAATTGTGAAATTAGTTGAAACGACAAAAATCAGACTTACACATGTGGCATTATTTCTTTGTTTTATGATTCAGACCATAACAGACCAATAAACTCGCTTGTTGTGAATTTGTTGTCGGATGGGATAAAATTCACAACAAGCGAGTTTATTGGTCTGTAGGAGACGACTATGAAGGGTTAGGAGGTGGATAAAATATACAGGTTGATGATAGAATATGTCTAGAATTAGGGAATGAAAGGTCGTTGATTGATCATTGCTTGGGTGTGGCGAAATACATCCCCAAAGTGCGCAAAAAATCTTACGCCGTAAATTGCACTTTATTTACATTACGGGATCTGTAGCGTTATGGTCAAAGACTAAAATATAACACCAAAACGCTACAGTTCTGCAGCTATAATGAAATTAGAAGATAACGAATAATAATTATGCTGAAAAGTCCAATTTAACGATTTTTATTGTTAATAAAGCAAACACAGACTTTGGACAACATCTGAGCTGGAGGAGTAAGCGTATTGTGTCGACCGGTCACACCCGTCTTGAGCCTTGTCTTGATCGGATAAACGAAATACGTAAACAATTCAGAATGATTGATTGAATGTATGTTGTTTAACGTCCCATTCGAGATATTTCACTCATATAGAGACGTCACCATATACCGGTGAAGGGCTTCAAATTTTGACCTTTACTCGGCACTGAGGGCCATTGAGCAGTGAGGGATCTTTAACATGCCAACGCCTGCCGTGACACGGGGCCTCGGTTTTAAAGGTCTCATCCGAAGGACCCGCAACTTTCATTTCAAAGTGCCGAGAGTATGGCGAGGGAACAGTTGCTACCCATTTTTTATCGCCTTAGGTCAGTCGCACCCAAGATCCGAACTCACGACCTCCCGATCACGGAGCGAGCGCTCTACTGACTCAATTCAGAATGGAAATAATGGTCTTCCAATTTTTATGAAAAACAGCAGTCAACTTTCGACCTAACGACAGGCTGTATTTACAAACAATGTCACTGTATCGACTTTTGCATGGTAACCAAACGTGTGAACGCATGTTCAACACGTGTTTGAAAGTATGTAATACGTACGCTCCATGTGTTTTTAAGTTTTACCATGTTACAGTGGTAAAACTCATTGTGTGATTTTTTTTTTCAAATGAATTAAATGAAATGTGAAGTCCGCTGGAGGTACATATGCGAGAAATTTTCATTTATAATTATTTCATTTTATTAAATGCATATATCTATATTTCTTGTGTCCTGTATCTCCATCCACCTTCTTTTCTTCTAATTTTTTTCATATTTTTTTTATTATTAATTCAAAGTTGTTAATTTTTTTCAATTTAAGTAATGGGTCGAGTATAAATAGCAATCATGTAAACAATATTTTTTTTAAAAGTACACCACACAGCGAAATTCAATATTTGAACAACTTTGCTCCACCCTTAGGCATGGTCTGATTCACAAGGCTTGAATTTCAAAATTTAGAAATTTTGTTGGGTCTAAGTGCTCATTATAACCGTGCAACATTTCCCTTTCTGAATGCAGAAGATGTTCAAAGTTGATTGCGTTTCAAGTTTCTACCAAGGGGGCCTGAACTCTTGACCCAGAAGCCATGAACTGAACTTAATTTTCTATTAAAGTACATTTTATAATCGTGAAAAAGTCTGTGAGTAATCAAGATATTCAGAATTGTAATGTACATTCAATATAAGACCGACTTAACCCAACCCTAGGGCCTGAACAATTTACAAAAATGAGAGAGGGCAAGGTATTTTTTTTTTATAAAAATGGAGATAGAAATATTTCTACTTAGTAGAAAAGACAATTTTCAAAGATATAATGCTTTTTAAAATCATTTCCAAGACTTAGCTTTTTTGATTGACTTAAAATTTCCCTCTGAAATGGCGCTCGCTCCGTGATCGGTACGTCCTGTCTCCGAATCACGGCCGCGACTTACCTAAGTCGATAAAAATAGGAAGCAACTGTTCCTTCGTCAAACGCTCGTCACTTCGAAGAGAAAGTTGCGGGTCCTTCGAATGAGACCTTAAAAACCCCGTGTCACGGTAGGCGTTGGCACTGATTAAGAACCTTCACTGCTCAATGACCCTGAGTGTCGAGTATAGGCCTAAATTTGAAGCCCCTCGCCGGAGGTGACGTCTCTGTATGAGTGAAAAATTCTCGAATGGGATTTACAAAATTCATAGAAAGGACATTACGTCCTTGTTGAAGACAACGTTCATTTTAGATGGTCTTTGAGTGACCCCCCCAAAATTCTTAAAGTCTATTTGATGCCCATCTCAATCATTTTGTTTGTATCTACCTTAAATATAGTATTAAATGAAGCATTTAACAATTGGGAAGGGGGTCTCCGGTCCCGAACCTTTTTGAGCTTAAATCCCCCTCCTTCTAGGAAACACGGATCACTCGAAAGTTGATAAGAAGAGTCAAATAAATGAGGAAAAGCACATTTTTCCATGAGAAGTTTTCTAGAAAGTTTAAGTTGTGGTCTATAAGTGGTTGAAAAGAAAACATCCTGCAGAAAATTCATTAAATCTATCTAGCCAGTACTACCTTTTCATTTGTTTTTTGAGTGTTAAAAAATAAGGAAGTATTTAAATGAACAGATGAACAGATGAATGGTTTTAAAATTCATTAATACATGACTTTGGACCCCAAATAGAAAACGTTATCCATTCGTGAATTGGTATTTGAAAGAAACGGGATTCTGTCGGCAACTAGAATTGAATCATGTAATCTGTTAATTCTTGTGAATAATCGTTTAAATATAAAAATATAGTTCATTAAATAAACTACCTGTCCTTATACAGAAATGAATATTATACTAACTCTATTTATTTTACACGTCACATTTGATATCTGTTTCTTGGTAACTTGTTCATTACCACCTCCTGTCACCTACGTGTTTTTGAGACAGATTACGTATTTGAAAGACTTTTATTCCGTTTTAGGAATAAATTCGCTTAGCAGTAAGTTGGAAAGAACCTAAATACCCACTTTATTTTTTAACAGGTATGATAAGTTGAAAATATCTTTCAATATAAGCAAATTTGTCGCTCAAACCTGTACATTTGTAGGGAATATGGGGTTAAATGACTCATTTGAACATGACGTCCAAGTACATCAAATCTATAAGAAACTAGAGATACTGTTCGCGAGCACTGAGCTCAAAAAATGATACCCTCCGCTCCCAGGAGTAAAACGCCAAAGTACTTTTTTTTGCTGTGGGAAACCCAAAATACCCATTGTCCTATCAGAGCATAAAGTAAGAGGACTGAAACACAAAATAGGAGATGCAAAATGCCACTATGTAATAAAGAATTGGTGAAAATTTCATTCAATTGCATTCAGTGGTGTAATAGGAGTAGCTGCTACGGGATAGCTATCTCTAAGTGTTACGAACGGACACCCCCATCCTTATATACCTCACTTTTCAAGCGGGGTAGAAAAAAGTCCAACAATATCTCTTCAACATACATGTATTTGGACAAATTTTAGTATGACCTTATAAGTTATGTTACAAATAATGATTCCATGAAAAAAAGCACTTGACCACATGCATTGGATAGAATTAAAAAAAGGACGAGGTAGTTTGTACACTGATATCTCACCAACAAACGCTCACCCCTGTCATCGCCTCGTTTTTGCTCTACTGGTCAGAGACCAGAAGAGCTTATGCAATAGTAATATGTCCGTCGTCCGTCTGTCTGTCTGTCTGTCTGTAAACAATTTTTTAAAATGCTACTCCTCCTACAGTTTTGGTCTGATTTCGATATAACTTGGCACACAAGAAGACTACACTAAAATACATTTTTCTGTATATCGATTTTTGATTTCGGTGAACGGTGTTGCCATGGTTACTAAAAATAGAAATTTCTGTAAAATACATCCAAAATGCTACTCCTCCTACAGTTTTGGTCTGATTTCAATATAACATGGTACACAAGTAGACTTCACTAAGATACATAATTCTGTGTATCGGTTTTTGATTTCAATGAATGGTGTTGCAATGTTATCTAAAAACAGAAATTTCTGTGAAAAACTTTCAAAATGCTACTCATCCGATCGATTTTTGATTTCGGTGAACGGTATTGCCATGGTTACTTAAAATAGAAATTTCCGTTAAATACTTTCAAAATGCTACTCTTCCTACAGTTTTGGTCTGATTTCAATATAACTTGGCACAAAAGTAGACTATACTAAGATACATAATTTCAGTGAACGGTGTTGCCATGGTTTCTAAAAATAGAAATTTCTGTGAAATACTTTCAAATTGATACTCTTCCTACAGTTTTAGTCTGATTTCAATATAACTTGGCACACAAGTAGACTACACTAAGATAAATAATTCCGTATATCGGTTTTTGATTTCGATGAACGGTATTTCCATGGTTACTAAAAATAGAAATTTCTGTGAAATACGTTCAAAATGCTACTCCTCCTACAGTTTTGGTCTTATTTCAATATAACTTGGCACAAAAGTAGACTACACTAAGATACATAATTTCAGTGAACGGTGTTGCCATGGTTTCTAAAAATAGAAATTTCTTTGAAATACATTCAAAATGCCACTCCTCCTACAGTTTTGGCCTGATTTCAACATTACTTGGCACACAAGTAGATTAAACTGAGATACATAATTCTTTTTATCATTTTTTTGATTTTCTTTTAAATGGCTACTCCTTCTACAGTTTTAGTCAGATTGCAATTCATCTTGCCACAAAAAGAGAGTAAAACAATATTTACTATTTATTTATTGCTGTTGCAAAGTTTCAAGTCCAAGTGCTACTTTTCTCTTCCTTAATTGTTATAAGTACAAACCAGTAGAGCTAAAGTCTCGACAGAGACTTCTGGTTTTCTTCAAAAGGAATCTTAAACATTTTCAGACACCCAGTCCATAACGAATTTTTTTTGTTTCGAATTAATCAATTATTTGACATAGATTGCTTTTAGAGACATTTTTCTTTTCTAATAAATACGTTACAGACGTCCATATCTAGTCTTTGGGTTTTAAATCACATTTATTCTTCAGTGATTACATTGTAAACTTCTACTTTGGTAAAGAGTTGATAAGACGACTCCGATATTCCTGGTAGCCAGAGGATGACACAAAGTTTAGAGATCTAGTTGGAGCGCATCAAAGTTCTAATTTTAATCAGGTTGTATAATGTATACATATATATACATGTACGTTAATTTTATGTAACACTTTTTGACCATCCCCTGGTCCGTAAATGGCATCAACTTCTGTGAAACTTTTTGTACTTATAACTTCATCTAACAAAGACAATAGCTTTTTAAGCGTCTGTTAATTCACAAAGGATCCTGCATTCCAATGTTGGTTTTATTCTTTAAAATTTCTCATAAAATTTTGACATTTTTTAGTATCATATCCGTTTTGTGTTTTTAATCAATTCTTTTTGTTTCCTCTTTTCTTCTTCGTTTGCTTTCCTATTACTGAATCGCCAAACGTGTACCCCATATGCACAGAGCCCTACAAAAAATTGAACTACTTCAAAGATGGCTAAAACAGACAGACCAATCCACAAACCAATAGCTCCACCCACATCTGATGCAAACTGGACAGTCTACAAAATATATACATGTATATACCGGTAGTATGTAAATGTTAGTCATATCATCTTGTTCACACTATGGATGCAACTTTCCTGATTAACGAACCTCAATAGTTTTCAGTCTTGAGTAAAGTTCTAATTTGACATGAAAATAAAAACAAAATAATTCTATCCTAGAAATTACTTCAACAAACATTCGCAAGATTAAAGATTGATTGTTTATTATTGTTTTACGCCGAGTCGGCAATATTTCAGCCATATTTCAGCGGACCTAAGTTTAAAGAGAGAAAGTTGAAATTTTGTAGATTCCAATTTTAAAAAAGAAAACTACTATCTATACTTGTCACTGGCACAATGTTTAAAGTAATAACTTACCTCTATTTCGAGTTCCTCTTCGAACACCTGGTAATTAAGATCTTCATAATAAATAATTAATTTTAAAAAATTGAACCTGAAAAAGAAGCAAGTAGTATTATCTTTTGCCTGACAGAAAAAAATAATTACATGTACTAAAAACAGGGGCGTATATATATATATATATATATATATATATATATATATATATATATATATATATATATATATATATATATATATATATATATATATATATACTGAACCAAACTTCTAAGTGTTCACCTAACATTTTTCAAGTTATAAAGAACAAATGCATACCATAAGTAATTTTTTTAAATTCATGATTAATGAAACAAATTTCAGTTCGATGTTGCGTAAATTTCATGTAGGTATCTCGTCAGACTTTAAAGCAAAGTGTGAAGGACATGATGTACCCTCAAAATGAAAATTCACATAAAATAATCTCTATGGAGTAAAACCATCACTTGCTCTAATTACTGCACAACATCCTTTTCTCATGGATACCACGTACCCCTGAATAGGAGGTTGACCTATCTGCTGCCATACCTGCTGTATGGATCTTTCTAAACCGTTGAAACTGCGTGGGGGGGGGGGGGGGGGGTGACATTCCTTTTAAAAGTCCCAAATGTGTTCAATGGGATTCAGATTTTCAGGCCAGTGCATCACACAGATGCCTTTTGGTCAACACTTCAACCTCTTTGGGTGTCTCGCACGTAAGTGTACCTTTTTAAGGATGATTCAGACTGTTTGAGATGATACTGGACTGCCATGAGCACCAATTTGTTTGCCATTTTCTTACAATGGAAGTTGCTTATTTAAATGTTTCTAAAGTGGTTCAGGACCAATGTAACAATCTTTTAACCTGACTGTAACGCAAAACCTTGGCCTCAGACAATGATCCAGATCACTTCCGGTTTGGTTAAATTTTGTCCAAAGCTTTCAAATTTGAAAAGTTGAAAATAACGCACAACCTATAGAAATATGTGTTTAAATGGATTTTTATACTGGATGTTAATTTTTAAAAGTAATATCAAGGACAAATAAACACTAAAATAAAAATGAGTTAAACATGTCGTAAGGATGGTCCAGATATCAACATTCCAACAGCTCTCCCTCTTTCCTCAAAGGTCTTTTTGCCCATGTTTTGTGTTTTTTAATTAAACCCGTTCTTACGATAATGGTCACAAAAAGAAGCTGATTACATAAAACACGTGTCGTAAAGTACCGATTTATTGTTTTTAAGCTTCGGCACGGGACATTGGTTTTCGTCGGTGTTAATTGATTTTCTTTCGACAATTGTTAAGAAAACGCATTGGTTATAATAATTTGAAAATATCATACCATTCTATCATGTAAATTTTAAATAAATACATTTATTATAGTGAACACTTAGAGGTTTTGTTAAGTGTGTATATACATACAAACATACATACATATATATATATATATATATATATATATATATATATATATATATATATATATATATATATATATATATATATATATATATATATAGGATCTCCCATGATTTGTAGTTGGATATGATTTTTATCCAACGAGTTGTGTGTTTTTTTTATCCCCGAGCCTTGGCGAGGGGATAAAAACACACAACGAGTTGGATAAAAGTCATATCCAACTACAAATCATGGGAGATTCTTTTTATCCCATGTTTAATACTTCACAACCAATGTTTTACACTGTTTTATATAGGACTCCACTTTATTCTACTTCATTACTCTAACGCAAAAACCATTGTGACGTCACAACTGCACTTAACTGTGGATTATGAAAAAAATTATCCAATGAGTCATATCCACGGGATAAAGGGGTAAACATGGGATATATATATATATATATATATATATATATATATATATATATATATATATATATATATATATATATATATATATATATATAGGCCCCTGCTAATATAAAGAGCGCTCTTTAACATTGTCGAAAGTAGGTTCTATGTTTAAAGTCACCTGCGTGCGTAGATTTGGGAGAAATCGGCACTTTGAAAAAACAAACAGTATTTTTAAAGTTTCGATTCCTGTTTTCTTTTACTTTAAGCAACTAAAAACTCTATTCTATAGGAAATAAAAAGCATTTAGACCCTGTATGAAGTATATTTGAGACGAGTCCATCATTTAAACTGACCCTTAAACTTATAATAAGCCAACATAATGCACAGAAATTTACAGTATATTGATTCATGTTCATAAGTAATTAATGCTCATTTGTTTGAAGTTTTTGTTTATTTTTTCACTATCCCTCGCAGGTTTTAATAAAATGATGAATGGCAGACTAAAAATAAATGTAACTTACCCATGACATAAGTAAATACTCATTTGTTTGAAGTTTTTGTTTACTTATTTTTTTCACCTTCCCTCGTAGTTTTTGAAGTTTTTAGGTGACATTAAACTTAGAATTACTTTCAGCCAGCCTAAATAAAATGATGAAAATCATACTAAAAAGAAATGTAACTTACCCTAATGATCGATCATCACGAGTTAGGTTGACGATTCTCTCACACTTACTGGGAAATTCTTCACATAGGCCTTGAATAAAGGTAGTCTGAAAAATGAAACAATTTTTCTAATTTTTTTGAAAAAAAATCTTAACGATGCTTTCTTTCTGATGAAATTAAACATATAAGTTGTGGAATCATTTTAATCGTTTGTGATTAGCCAAAATTTTGCTGGTTCTTGGGGACGAAATTTCGTGTGTAACTTGTATATGTAGAAGATTCAATGAACTGATATGTTGACAAAACTACAGTTGTATGGATGTTTATTCATGTAAAAAGTGGCCCACGAACATTGGTCCCCCGCGAACAATGAAGATTCCACAGCAATTCTTACTGCAAGAATATTGAAAAGAAATCCCATAATTTTATTCTATGAATTTGGTTGAATATTTAATAAAAATATTGTCTTATTGGTATTGTTTTCAGATTTCGTTATGGATTTCTAGTTTACATTGTTATGGCTAAAAATGAAGGCAAAACTACAATATACAGCATATTCTGTTGTTGGCCACTGTCGACTGCTTGGAAATAACGAATATTTTTTCTCACTGGAAAAAAAATCAATATAGAAATAAATGAGAGGACTAAAATTTTATTTTTGTTAAATATTATGTACCATGCAAATAACGTAGACAAGATATCGATGAAATCAACATTTTTCTGATTCCTGGAACTTTTCAATGTAAAGACTTTTGATAATTTTGAATTTACTGATAATCATTATTCTCTAACTTGCATGGATTCAAACAAGAGCACTGCCTTTGCTTCATATCAAATTCCTTCATTATCTTTCTGACACAAAGAGATTCTGAAGAATCATATATTGTACTCAAGAAGTAAAAATACTCCGTAAATCTAAATACTGAAATACTCAGACAAAAGTCAATAATACCTGGTACCCTACCAATTTCATTGTACATAATAACATGACAGACATAATAAACAATATTGTATCATTTGATTTAGGTTGTAATGTGCCATTTGATTGGATAGAAAATTAACTTTATATCATTTAAACTGTGTTGTCTACAATGACTTGCGTCAAAAAGTAAAGATTCGCTTGACGTTATATTTTTCATACAATTTGGGGTTATTTTGAAGTGATTGTTTAAGGGTAATCTGGATTGGAGCAGTTTACGCTTTTTAGCTCACATGAGCCAAAGACTCAAGTGAGGTTTTGTCCGTAGTCTGTCGTTGTCGTCGTAAACTTTTTACAATTTCATGTTCTTATCCAGAGCCACTGGGTCAATTTCAAGCAAACTTGCCACACAGCATCCCTGGGTAAAGGGAATCTAAATTTGTTCAAATAGACCACCTTCTTTCAAGGGGAGAAAATTACGAATTATTGAAAAATTTATGGCATCTTTTAAAAATCAGAAGCAAGTCCTATCCAGGTTATACAAGTATAACTTCGATAGCTATTAAATCCATTCCTTATCATTTATTTTCCTATCATTAAATGTGAAGATTAAGACAACATCATTTTTTTACTTTTACTTTTAAATTGTACTAAATTTTAATATCTTACATCAAATGGATTAATAAGTTTTTGACGCAAGTCAAATTGTAACGTAGGAATCTCATGTTTACCTTTCTATTAAATCAAATGGCGAGTTACAACCAGAATTATATATATATATATATATATATATATATATATATATATATATATATATATATATATATATATATATATATATATATATATATATATATATATATATATATATATATATCTCAAATCGGTCAATTTTTTTTAATCGGTTACTAGGACGATTTTCCGATCGAGTGCCTGGGTACTCGGAAAAAGTGTGTATACATGTAAAACTTTGTTAAATTTGTTGAGAAATGCTTTACAGTTCTTGTTTAGGAAGCCAACTTGATCAACAGAAGAGAAGGACGCAACTTTGTAATGATTAGACTAGCGAAAGAGAAGACGTTGTCGATCGTGATTTCGGGTCGTATTTTATTTACATTTCCAAATGAATTCTCTGTGATAACTCTGAAAGTTAAGTACAACTTCACCCGTTCTATATACTGACAATCCCCCTATAATATCCCTAAGCTTATATCCCCTGTTATCAGATTACTTAAATGACATTTTACGTACCTATGTTTGTCCGGCACCATTTATTTTTATTGGTGTAATTGGTAAAATGAAAGAGCTCCCTGTATTCTCGAGCAAAACACCTACATTCATTCAACATGGCCGACTGCTTACAGCTACGACACACCTGTATTAAAAGTCACTTCTTTTCAAAATCTATCATAACCAGAAGTCTCTGATGAGACTGTAGCTCTACTGGTCTGTACGTATAACAAAGGAAAAGTAGCACTTTGATTTGAAACTTTGCAACAAGAAACAATCAATAGAATTATGTATCTTAATGTAGTCTACTTCTGTGCCAAATTAAATTGAAATCAAACGAAAACTGTAGGAGGAGTAGCATTTTGAAAGTATTTCACAGAAATTTCTATTTTTAGTAACCATGACAACACCATTCACTGAAATCAAAAACCGAAATATATATAATGTATCTTAGTGTATTCTTATTGTGTGCCAAATTAGACTGTAATCAGACCAAAACTGTAGGAGGAGTAACATTTTAAAGGAATTTCACAGAAATTTCAATTTTTAGTAACCATGGCAACACCGTTCATCGAAATCAAAAACCGATGCACTAAATTATGTATCTTAGTGTAGTCTACTTGTGTGCCAAGTTGTACTGAAATCAGACCAAAACTGTAGGAGGAGTAGCATTTTATAGGAATTTCACAGAAATTTCTATTTTTAGTAACCATGACAACACCGTTCATCAAAATCAAAAACCGATGCACTAAATTATATATCTTAGTGTAGTCTACTTGTGTGCCAAGTTATATTGAAATCAGACCAAAACTGTAGGAGGAGTAGCGTTTTATAGGAATTTCACAGAAATTTCTATTTTTAGTAACCATGACAACACCGTTCATCGAAATCAAAAACCGATTCACTAAATTATGTATCTTAGTGTAGTCTACTTGTGTGCCAAGTTATATTGAAATCAGACCAAAACTGTAGGAGGAGTAGCGTTTTAAAGGAATTTCACAGAAATTTCTATTTTTAGTAACCATGGCAACATCGTTCATCAAAATCAAAAACCAATGCACGAAATTATGTATCTTAGTGTAGTCTACTTGTGTGCCAAGTTATATTGAAATCAGACCAAAACTGTAGGAGGAGTAGCGTTTTATAGGAATTTCACAGAAATTTCTATTTTTAGTAACCATGACAACACCGTTCATCGAAATCAAAAACCGATGCACTAAATTATGTATCTAAGTGTATTCTACTTGTGTGCCAAGTTATATTGAAATCAGACCAAAACTGTAGGAGGAGTAGCGTTTTAAAGGAATTTCACAGAAATTTCTATTTTTAGTAACCATGGCAACACCGTTCATCGAAATCAAAAGCCGATGCACTAAATTATGCATCTTAGTGTAGTCTACTTATGTGCCAAGTTATATTGAAATCAGACCAAAACTGTAGGAGGAGTAGCGTTTTGAAAAATTGTTTACAGACAGACGGACAGACAGACAGACAGACAGACAGACAGACAGACAGACGGACGGACGACGGACACCTTACTATCGCATAAGCTCTTCTGGTCTCTGACCAGTAGAGCTAAAAACAACAACAATAATTTCAAATTCCAACATGTTTCAAGCTGAGAAATTGTGAGCACTTACTGATCTTGAATATTGTATTTTGTTTTGTGCCTTAAAGTTTATGCCATCTTCACATTCTCTTTGAGGTGGTGGGATGCGATTTAAATCAGTCTGTGAAAGGAGAATACTTTCAGGAAAGCAAATTAATGAGTCATACTGCAATTTACATATTTGATGATTAAGCAACTCTTTTAAGCAAAATCAGCATAATTTTTATTAATGGTCATTTTATATATCCACACTCAGTTGAAAAATCGTGTAGAGTTATATTAGTCATAATGAAAAGGTTTGCTATACTAGTAGTATGTAATAATGTTTGTACTCGAATGATGAATGCATTAAAACACAAGAGGCCCATGGACCACATTGCTCACCTAGGCTAGGAAGAGGCAAAAATCAGTTCACTATTGAAAGAGTGGGTAGTGGGTGGCAAACTTTAATTTACACTACCCCAGGATGCTTACATATCAATATTACTAATCAAAGCTTTGCTGTTCTTAACAGAAGAATTTTGATGATTTTTCCCTAATTGTCCTATATAAAAGTCTGATCTCTCATTGTGGTTTTACCCTACCCACCCTAAATTTGAAACAAATTTGAATCTAAATTATTTGAAGATGCTTCTATAATAATATGTCTAATCATTGCTTTGCTTTTCTTGAGCAAAAGATTTTTTCAAGATGATTCCTATATATTCTTATGCAAAACTTTGACCCTTTGTTGTGCCCCCAACCTCTGGAGGTCATTATTTGAACAAACTTGATTCTACAATTCCTAAGGTTGCTTCTGTATAATGTAAATCATATACGGTACCACTTTTGATGCACCAGATGCGAATTTCGACAATTTATGTCTCTTCAGTGATGCTCATTCCGAAACGTTAGAAATCCGAAATATTAAAATAAAAACAAAATTTGAAGAGCTGAAAAACTGGAGCCAAATACGTCGAAGGATCAGAGCTATGCATGAGATGAGGGAGATTTTGAAATAAATTTCTAAATTTTACCATTGCAATTATATATATCCGTATTTTCAATCTAGTACCGAAGTACGTAGCTACTGGGCTGTAGAGACCCTAGGGGACTAACAGTCCACCAGCAGAGGCCTCGAGCAAGGGGTCATAATGTAAATCTGATACGATACCAATTTTGATGCATCAGATGCGCATTTCGACAATTATGTCTCTTCAGTGATGCTCATGCCGAAACGTTTGGAAATCCGAAACATTTAGATTAAAAAAAAAACTTTAAATATGACTAATAATGGCTTAGTTGTTCTTGAGAAGAATATTTTTAAGATATTTCATACCTAATTTGTATGATCAGGCTCTTACAAGGGATATATAGGTACATGTATATAGGTTTTCCCTTTACTCTGTCTGACGTAATGATTGGAATGATTATTAAGACAGCTCTGTCTGAGGGTATATCATATAGTACTTAAATTTTCTCTTATCTAGAGACGGGGATTGGGTAAGGTACTACTTGCACCGTGTTTCTCCCCTAGGTTTCTATTGATAGATAAGAAGCGGGTGTCTCAATCTTCTTCAGATTTACTACACCCAGAACTTAACATCAGTTCCTTAGGATACATGTCGCTGGTGTTTATAACTTTTATACTTTTATTTTGCTCTTACTCTTACTCCTAATAAGACCAAATTCTCTATCCTTAAATGTCCATCACGTACATAATACTCTGATATTAATTTGAAGCGTTTTACAATAGAAAAGGATTTACCAAGAAAAAGTTTCAAAAATGTAATTAACTAAGCAATAATTAATTAACAAAGATTGCATTGAAGTCTATGAGGACAAGCAATTTTTAAAAAATAAAAATTCAAATAATAAGAATATTAATAAATACCGTGATGGAAAGATGAATTATAACATTAGAATTAGAATGACAAATTGAAAACAATTTTTTTTTTACCAGATAAGTTTAAATTTTTTAATTATTAATTAAAAAACAGAGGGAGATAACTCTTACCAAAATTCAAGGTAATAAATTAGGTAACATCCCATCCTCACATGCTAATAGTCATAATAGCAATTATGTCTGAATACACTGAGTATTCAACCCATACACATCTGTTATATGTATTCAACTTCATTGAATCTGTTGCTGTTAGGGATGGAATACCTTAACTTCTTTATTGCTGATTCAACATCCAACTTCTTCAGCTAGCATCTGAATGCCTGACTTTCTGAAAGCTTTGCCTTATAAACCCTTCGGTTTAGCTAGTCCATTCTAAGGGTTGTTGGGTAATTCCACTATTTGAAGTCTTTAATGCGTTTTACTCAAATGCCCCTTACCCATTACACCTATATATTCCTATGTAAAACTTTGACCCATGCTTCAGCCCCGCCTTACCCCCGAGGTCCTAATTTGAACAGACTTGAATCTACACTACCTGAGGATACCTCTGTATTAATATGACTAATAATGGCTTAGCTGTTCTTGAGGAGAAGAATTTTAAAGATATTTCCTTTATATTCCTATGGTTAACTTTGATCCCATTTTGTGGCCCTGACCTACCCTCAGACTTGAATCTACACTACGTTCTTGAATCTACACTGCTTCTATTATAATATGTCTAATATGTCTAATCATGGCTTTGCTGTTCTCGAGAAGATTTTCAAAGACATTTCCTATATATTCCCCCGGAACTTACGAAATGAACAAAATTGGAAATAGAGTTTGTAATGAAGCTTTCACATAAGTTTCATCTTTTCTTGCCCAGTGTTCTTGAGAAGATTTTTAAAAGATGCCACAAAATTTTCACGAATTCTTAATAAACTCCCTTTAAAAGAGGGGCGGCACTTATTGTGAACAAACTTATGAACAAACTTAAATCCCCTTCACCCAAATGCTTTGTGGGAAATTTGGTTGAAATTGGGCCAGTGGTTCTTGAGAAGAAGTCGAAAATGTAAACAGTTTACAGACTACAGACAACAGATAGACGCCTGGCACTCTTTGATCAGAAAAGTTTACTTGCAGCCTTGGGTTCAGGTGAGCTAACAAGACGCCCAAGGGCCTTAACGGTCAAGTATATAACGGTCGAGTATAATACAACAATTTAGAAGATCCATAGAGTATAAAAACTGTTTGATGAAGCTTTGTTGCCCAAAACCAAGAGAAATAGGATGACTAAGATCAACCAAATAATTAGTCTAGTATTCAGTAACAACTCATAAATTAAGTTCTAATCCGTTCCCCATTTATCACTATCACCATGCAGACTATTAACTAATTAAGAAACTCTTAGTACATATGTACTATTTTTAATCCCATATTTTAACCTAGCACATTGGCTTTTCTTGGTCTTTGAAGAAAATTAAATAAGATAAGTAATTTTTGTCTCATTTTTATTTATCTATTTTACAAGTCTACCTGATCATTAAAGCTATGAAAGTACTTTTTGCATTACACAATAAAAAATCTCGCATAATTCTCTTGTTTTATTAATCTTTCAAATACATTATTTATAGTTATTAATTATCAAAAGTGAATGGCCGAAATATCGTCGTATGTAATTAATATGCACGGGTCATTTGATTGGTTGCTGCACAGAATCGCGATGGTATATCAACGAATCACAGTTAACGTTACATACAAGTATGTTTGATCGGCGATAACAAACGCTTTTCCGATTGCAAACAAATCCACTCGCCGGTGCATTTAGCAGTTTGAGAAAGGTACTCCTATATTATTCCTGAACGGTATTTAATGCCAGTAACATGTAAGCGTGTCTTTTATCGTTTTCAAACAAAATTTTAACGGCGTCACGATATTACCATAAATAGCAAACTTCAAAACGTATTTTCAAAATTGAAGAGTTTGAACTTTCTGATTGGTTGTTTTTAATATAATCGACGATATTTCAGCGAGTTTGCCCACGGGTGGTGGGTAAAAGACGAGATCACCCGTGGGTATCTGACAATGATCTTTCGTTGAAGACTCAAATTTCCTAATAATCATGTAAGCAGTTTGATTTCTTTTTGTCTAAGAATATAAATGAAAATAGTTTGTTTTACGTATTTTCATTCTGATATGATGAACCTTACCCTGCATTTTGGTCATAAATTCACAATTCAGACTCATGATTCTTATCATGAAAATAATTCGGTTGTTGGGCTTGGAAGGGATAGAAAGTTTGGAAGATTTCTTTAAGTTATTGGTTTAAGTTTTACAACTCATCCTCAAGGGTGAGGATGGGAGGAAATCGCAACTTCTTGGGCCTTTCCGACAAGCGGAAAAACAACCTCGAATGTGTTATGTAGGCGTCCACGACAACCCCCTTTTCATAAATTGAAACAATTGTGGGGAGCTCTCTTATCTGTGGAATATGGAGTTTAACTCCATTGAATGTAAAGATATTGCCTAAAATATTCTGCAGAAGGGTCTTTCAATTCGTCTATCCAATACTTTAATAAATAGGAAGCGACTCCATTTTGTATAAATTTTTAACATCCGGTGATGTAAATACATTCGAGGTGGGTTTTTTTTTTTGCAAGCCGGAAAGGCCCAAGAAGATGCAATTGGGTGGGAAGTGGGGTTGAATCTAAGAATTTCACCAATAGAAAATAATGTAAATACCAATATAGGCTCAGCCATCTCAGGGAGAAAGCTGATAATATTCAAAATGTTACTCACTTTAAACATTGTACAAAACCTTGCCTTGTACAAGAAGGGATAGCAAAATATCATCCGAGTAGCTTGTTTTGTCTTATATCACCCGAGTAAAAAATATCTTCCCAAACTGCGATAAGAAGAAGCCATGGGCAGATTTTGTTTCCGTACTTTTCTACATGTGTCTGAAGGAAAATTATTCCTGTATCTATATGTCATAATTATTCCTGTATTTTTATATTATAAAGTAATACTTTCACAATAACTTTTAAATATATTTATACAAGTTTATACATATCTTACTAAACGTAAACCAATATGCGTTTCAAATGAGGATGAAATGAACATCCCCTCTTGGGCTGGCATAGGGTATGAACCTATATCGTTGATCTGTACACGCATGCCGTATCTTTGAGTTATTCCATTAAGGAACTCCCAATTTTCAATATAAAATATCAAGCTCAACCCTAATATATAAATAAAAATACAGGTTAGAAATTAAAATCTTATGTTCATTCTACTATAGAGATTAAGAATCAAACCTCAACAAAGTAGGTTATTTCGAAAAACTCAAGCAAACACAATTATCACTTTTGCGAAATATAAAGGTTTACTTACCAGGAGATGGGCCCGGATTCCTGACGACGAAATTCGCTGACTTTATGGTGAAGCAGTTTCCATATTCAGATGTATTTATCAATGTGAAATTGCTGGAAGAAAAGCATATAAAATAGTGGTGAGGGAAGATTCATTGCGTCTCCTTCCCTCGTATATTAAACTGTACATGAGTTGGAATGCGTTCTTTTGATTTATCTCAAAATATTTAAAATAGCATGGCTTTAGCAAGTAACAGATCTCACCTAGGAAAACATTCATAGCCATTGAAGGAACAAGCCAGCAGCATATCTTGTATCTGGTGTCCAGCATAGACTCTGATCTGCCTGAAAATATCGACAAATACTGTTAGGCCAACTTAAAAATAATGCTTGTTTGCCCTCTCCCGATTCAGAATGAAAAAAAATGGGTCGGTAGGTAGGTGAGAAATATTTTCCCCAGAAAATTTCAACATCAATGCTGAATTTTTAAAATCAATTTACCGCAATGCATAACACAGTAATCCTGGAGGTAAAAATTTTTTCAATCGGGCCAATTTTAGCTATTCGGACTGGAGAGGGCTACCAAACAATTTTTTAAAGATGGCCGTATGTAAAATTACTTTTGCAACATGTTTTAACCAGATTACCATGCCTGCCCGAATATAGGTTACTTTATCAACTCGGTCTTTGCATTTGTTGATATACACATGTATTTTATAAGCATTTTTGACGACAGTTAACCATTATAAACATTTAAAATGTTCATTAAAAAAAAATAACACATGTAATATGAAGGAATCATAATGTAAACAAGATGTCGAGGGGTCTGAGTCACTTTGGCCCTAGTGCTTTAGGTCTTAAAAACTGTTTTCAAAAGAGTTTTCCATTTATATTCCTATGGACTCCATATTGTTGCCCACCTTAGCTCGAAAGTGTCATGACTTCACCTAACTTGAATCCACATAACAATGGCATTCTGAATATCACGATCACTAATGTAGAATTGGTGTCCTAGAGAGTTGCTTATAAGATTTTTCCGTATATAAATGTATTGTGTAAATTAGAATCCAAGTTTAACTCAATCCTAACCCAAGTGTCCATAATTTAAGCAAACTGTAAAGTGTAGAAATCTTTGCATATAATGATATATATCATAACCTTGTTTCTCTCCTTTTTTGAAAACAAATATTCTTATGTATTCCCATGTAAAATTTGAGTCCCTATTCAAGCCCCACCTTATCCCCAAAGGACATGACTTGAACAATTATATCCACACTTGGTTGAGCAATTTCTGCAGTGCTGCATTTTTAAGAGAAGTTATAAAAGATTTTTTCTTCTTGCTCCCATAAAAACTTAGCTCCCTTCTTTTGGCTCTACCTTATCTTTTTGTACAAACTCAGATGATGCTTGCATTTGATATTACTTATCTGAACCCTGCTGTTCTTGAGAAGATTTGTCAAAATTTTTCCTGTTTAATCTCATGAAAAGCTTTGATTGTCTAGTGTGTCCCAACCCTATCTATGGCGACCGCAATATGAAAAATTAAACTTGAATCTGCATCACCTAACAATGCTTGTATATCGATAAGACTAATGACCCCCTGTTCTAGATATTTTAAATTCCCATGAAAAAGTGATCCTTTACTGTGGTCCTTCCTTACCTTGGGGACCATGATTTGCATAGATTTGAATCTGCACTACCTGAGGATGCGTGAGTACTAATATTATTGACCAAGGCCATTTTTAAATTATATATATATATATATATATATATATATATATATATATATATATATATATATATATATATATATATATATATATATATATATATATATATATATATATATACATCTCAAGGTAAATTTTTAAATTTTTAAACCCCTATTGTAGTCGTGGCGACCCTCATGATGTTTTGTTTGTTTTTTTTTTGTTTATTGTCCCTTCGAGAACTTTCACTGATATTGAGACGCCACAACTTGCCTGTGGAGGACTGCAAATTAAGGCCTGTACTCGACACTTACGGCCTTTGAGCAGAGTGATCTTTTTCGTGCCAGCACCTACTGCGACATGGCCCCTGGGTTTATACAGTCTCATCCAGAGAACCACGTCCCGCAGTGGGATTCGAACCCGCGACGTAAATATCACCTCCTTACTCCTCGACTCTAGAACAAACGCTCTAATCACTGCATTACACAAGCGACATCCTCATGATGTAAGCAAACATGAATTTACATTATGTCAGAGTTTCATCTCTTCTGGTCCAGTTGTTCTTAAGAAGAAGATATCTAAATGAAGAATTTTATCTTTTGGCTTTCTGTACATATTCAAGCATATACCTTTGAGGAGCCCTTAAACATTTGATTTTCTCTTTTCAACGAAGAATAATTTGTGCCAAGTTTGGTTGAAATTGTGAAAGAAGTTCAGGTAAAAGACGTTAAGAATGTAAAAAAGCTAGACGAACAATGGATAAACTTTTATCAGAATAGTTCACTCGAGCCTTTCTCTAATGCCAGCATTAAGAGGTATACCTTGGCATGCCCATATAGAGTTTTTTAAAAGTCCTTTCCACCTTGTAAATGACATCCCTTTCAGCGTCCTCGAACCCTTCGTCCCTGTAACTTGGGTCCTCATGATAGTCTCCATAGTCAGTGATGTTGTCAAAATTGATGTTCTCGAAATCTTCAATAAATCTTTTTGTTCTCTGAAAAAATGTGAGCATTTTATGAATAAATTCAAAAAAGATAAATGAATATCATTCAAGTTTTAACTTTCTGCTCTTATCATTAGATCTATCGGATTTGCTTTGTTGGATAATGTCTTCTTATCAAGAGTGCTAACAGATTTTGTGAACATTAAAATATCAATTTATCTTCAAATAATGTGTCTATTGTTTTAGAAAAATTGAAGATAGGCATTTTGATATCATAGTCAACTGCTTCTTCAATAACAAGAGATCCAAGGACCTTAACGGTCACATGAGTATAATACAACATTGTAAAGGAGCCACAGAAGTATAAATAAAAAACAAAATAAACTGATAGATGAAGTCATGTTGCCAAAAATCAAGAGAAATAGATGGGATAATCAAGGATCATCAAAATAGATAGTCTCGTCCCCGGTAACAAATCATACAGCAGACTTATTTAGTGTCCTGCTAATACATTAAGATTTTTCACTATCACCATGCAGGATTAAACAAATAATGCTTGAGCACATACATGTATAGTAAACCCATCTCATTTCCATTCACGCTGGCATCTTTTAGTCTTTAAATGACATTCAATGTACAAAGATATGCCATTTTTCTCATTTACTCATATCTTATTTACAATTTTATCTGGTCATTAAAAGTACTTCACTTAGTCTGCTTAATACCCAGGAGAATGGAAGATTTAAAAAAAATTATGCATTTTTAGTGCATGATCAATATTGTCCAACCCGAACACAAGAATCCTGACCCAGGGCAATGATAAAATGATGATGACTTCTTATGCACATGGAACTAAATATCTCCATCACAAAAGAGTGCGCTTTTTGTTCAGGATTTTTTATGCGTTGATATTTTGAATTTAACTTAAGAATTTTTTCTTAACTAAGAATTTTTTTTTTACTTAAGTGTGAATCTTAGCACAAATCTTATTAATTCAAGCCCTGGGCCCTGGTCTCCGAAGACATCAATGTTGTCAATGAGGAACTCAAGCATCCTTTTAATATCAACTTCAGAGTACTTGTGTGTAGAATCAGAATGTTTTAAATTTATTGTAACTAATGTTTGTATAAGGTGTAGAAAAATCGTACGTTTGATATTATTGACTTTAGAAAAATTTGGTGATTTAAAATTTTCTATAAGTTCTTTGGCGTTTTTGCGAATCCACATCTGAATTACACCGCATCTAGAATATGCTTTAGGACAGTATGTCTTAAATTTTCCTTTACAGAACTTAATATTTTTGTTAGAAGTAAAGATAGCTTAAGGCTTGGTAGAGCATTTGCTGGACCGGGCAATGTATCTTTGTTTGTAGGAATTTTTATGAAGTTTAGGAATCCAGTATAGGTAGGGTAGATCTAACTCACCTTGGTAAAAGTATTAAACACTGAAATGTGATTAATTTCTTCCTTTGAAAGTGAACTGTGAGTATAAGTTGGATTTCCAAAAGTAGAATTACAACCAAGTTCTAAAATACAACTAAATTTATGAGCCTTAGGAACAAAAACGATATTTCAAGCCTTATCTGCTGGAACCATAACATTGTCTTTTAGTTTTTCTAATTCTTTTAGCATCTTCGATTTAGTGAAAAAGAAAGGATAGATGATTTGCATATTGCCTTTAAACTTTCTAGCACGATTCTTTAATACATGAAATATGAAGACAACGAATAGTAATCATGATCATAGTCCATTGAAACAAAACAAATCGGGTGCAGAGAAAACTCGGACCTCAAAAAATTATCAGAGGTAGGATCAGGTGCCATGGAGGCATTCCCTGTCGACATGATCGGGTAAACGGAAAAATCCGTAGACAATTCAATGTGAATATAATGGCCTATCAATTAGTATGAAAAACGTAGGTCAGCATTCGACTTTATGATAGATTGAATTTTATATTTATAAAACACTTCTGACACCAATTGAAATATCGGGTCTCCCTGTATTAAGGACCTTTCAGGATAATTGCTTTAGGTCTTCTTTTTATCTATATTAACATCACCAGTAATGACGTGTATAGTTTGTAGCTTAAAGAAAAAGAGCAAGAACACATAAGAGGATTTTGTTTTAGATGTTCAATATCTAGGGACTATAAGGTTTGTTTATAATTGAAAAATTTGGAAGCAACAGTTTGGGTATATCTGTTGGAAATGAAGCATGTACTATGTAGATTTCAACTTGAAAAGATTGAACATTCTTATAATTAAGAATATTACTATTGTTAACAGCATATATTCCTTTGTTGGCAAATTTAAGTCTAAGGAACCGACGGGTTGAGAAAGGGGCTTAACATTAAGAACTAAAACCAAGTGGCAAATGACAAAGCATGATAACTTTTCTGAAGATATATGAATAATCATCATCACCAACAGTTCATTTCCAGCCCAATGCATTTCATGGAAATTGGAGTGAGTGCATTCAAGTTTGTTTTACTAATTTGTAACAACAGTTCCTTTATAACTATATGCCCCCAATAAACACCTCGATCAATTCTTGAAAAATCGAGAGAGAACAATCCCAGATAGTATCTTTTAACTTCTGCCAGGCATATTTTTCAAGAATTTTGCCCATCAGCTAAAAACTTACCTTTAGAATTTCATCACTGGGATTAAATCTATCTGGATCAGTCAGGGTGACGAGATTTCTCAACTCCTCAGAGGTAGAGCCGAGTCTTGATTTCTTGACGATATTTAAATTGCATACTGTAACTGCTGGAAATTGAAGACTGTTGAATCCTAAAGAAAGTTTGGTCTGAACGGGCAATTTCAGAAACAGAGCTATGAGATGGACGAGATGAAATATCATCCAGCCAAATGCCACCAGAGGTAGGAACACCCATAAAGCTTTTGAATACCAGAATCTTGCAGAATTCATATAGCCCACCCCTTGCATGGCGATTTTTTCAGCAAAGCGTCCAAAGACTTTCCGAAGGGATCTGCTTGTCTTCATCGAGTTGGCAAAAGACTCTAAATCCTTTTCATCTGACCTATTGTCAGCTTCGTGCTAGAATTATAAAAAGAAAATTGAAATTAACTTAACACGAAATATTTTAAAGAAAAAAACGTGAATTGTAAAAATTTGATATTTTGGCAAGAGACTTTTGTTTCAAAATTGCGCCATCTTTTACCTTACTGAATTTTCAACGAGTATATAAACTTTTTTTTTTTAATTATTAACCTTTTTCTGGGGTAAGTTTTTTGTTACCCTTTTCTAATTCGAAATAATATTAACTTCATATTTAATTTATCTTTTTTAGGAATTTCATGTTGAACCATATTTAATATGTTACAGCCACTTCAGCAAGCATTGCCCAGTTAAAACACTAGGCAATTTACTTGCCTCAGTTTTCTTCCTAACGTACAAAAGCTTGACGTGGTCAAATTCCTCAATTCTTTCAGACTTGTTAATACACATAGATTATGCCACACTAGCTAGGTAAATTGCTCAAGCAATAATTATTATCTCCGTAAAATGAAACATTTTGAAGCATTGTGTAAAGTTACAGAGAGAAAGTTAAATCAAATATACAAGTATGTTAAAAAGTCCAAAGATCGGGTACTGCAGTACATTCTGTGCACTTTGAAAAGCATTTAATGGAACCCTACTCACCTTAAATGAGCCCCTCTCCCGTTTTTAATTTTTAAATAGTATGTACTGTAGTTTATTTAGTGGAAGGTATATTCAACTTTTGTAGAGAAATGAGAATGTGTAAGAAATTGAAGGGGGAAAAAATCAAAACTCGATCACGATCGTGTCTTTTTTTTCAAATTTGAATTAGCAAGTAAATCAATTGTCGCAGAGACCTGATTTATTATACAGTTAAAGTATATCATTGAGGGAGTTAGCAAGATTCCAGTTCCCCAAGGCCAGAACTATTTCCCGAGGCGAAGCCGAGGGAAATAGTCCTGGTCGAGGGGAACTGGAATCTTGTTAACTCCCTCAATGATATACTTTTAACTGTTTTATTATACCAATACAAACATAAAATTTAGAGGAATCAGATAGCGTGATTTCAAAGCAGGGATTAGCTCACTGCAGGGATTAGCTCACTGAACTAATACACGGGGATTAGTCCATTCACATATCATCCCAATGTAAAAGCAAAATCTAGGGATTATGGATAACTGGGAATTAGCTTTCGAAGTAGGGTTTAGCGCAATTAACTAACGCAGGGGGATTAGTCCATTCGTAACGATTTCTAAGGAATTAGTCACATCTAACGATCTGTGTTCTAACGTACCTCTTTCCTCTCTTCATAATCCACAAGGGGGTCATCCCGGGAAACCCAGTGTTGATTACGATTTGTACCCCTCTCCATAGCCCGTGGACCAATATGTATTTAATACTTTTCAATCTTTCTTATGATTAATGAGTCAAGTTTAATATCCAAATACATGTAAATAAATCATTACAGGATGTTGTTATTATACAGAAAGGAACTAATCGTAATCAAACGAAGTTTTCCGATTATGTATATTAGTAATGTACATCAACTGTCTCTCGGATATACATTGTCTATCCATACAAATAATTCAGATGGTAAAACAAATATTAATAAAATTGAAATTTCGATTATTGACATTACAAAATACGGATTTAAACAATATAATAAATAGGAAAACTAACTGCATAAAATTAAACATACCCCCCCCCCCCACACACACACACACCAGGTAGTATATCGATGATAACCATGCAAATAAAATTATAGGTTTGTTATAATACTGTAAAGTAGAAATATGAAAATTATGCATAATAGAAAAAAATTGGTTTATACTGTCTTAATGGCACATTTAGCTTACACTACTCGAGTAAATTCACATGAAGTTTTAGACATGCACAAAATGTTTAGAGCATATATTATTAAGTATTTAAATCAAAGGAAATACGCAAACAAAGCGTGCAGATTACCTATGGCTTCAGATGCATAAAAATGATAATTTTATGAAATTGTGAATTTAGGTTTTAGAGTAAAGTTCTTATCATTGAAATTGAGCAAACCCTAGCAATAAAAATCCTGAGTATCATTTAAATTTTTTTGAGACTAACACGTTTACCACTGCGCAACAGGGCTCTTGTCAAATAGTGGCATTGAAATCATGTTTGTGATTTGACCCCTGTCTAAATGGACTTCAAATATTTCTCGAAAAAATACGAATGTTGTATTATAAAAGTGTAATTTTAAGATGTATTGGGTTTTACTCCAAGTGTTAACCAAATAATCTATCTTTCTACGCATACTTTGAGAATAAACTTTCAACAACAACAACAAAAAAAAAAAAAAAAAAAAAAAAAAAAAAAATAGAGCGGAGACCCACTCATATGGAAAAAAATGTTTTAAAGTATGAGAAAATGATCATTTTTGTCCTCTTTGTTGTGTGAATGTTATTTCTTAGAAAAATACTTTCAATCTTTTTGAGATTTTTGCATATTGTGGAGATTTTTCATAAAGCATACCTTAATGTTAGATGAAATATCAAAGAAAAGTTTGTTATAATTGATATTTATTTTTACACCTTCATGTATGTCGCACCATATGTATTTTGCTCACCTTGTTCGCTCATCTTCTTTAGTTATTGTACATAAATTGCTGAAATATTCGCTATTTAGTCACTGAAAAGGAAAACTGGAAAAATCTAAGTCGTGGATGTTGAGTGTATGTTTCCTGCTGTCAACAGTTAAAAAAAAACATGTTATAAGTGTTTACATTGAAATTGAACTTAATTTTATTCTCACTCTGAAAGCATTTTTTTGGTTTTAAAATATTTATTCCCTTCTCTCGCATTTTAAACTCACCTGAGCCAAAGGTTCGGACTTTTTTGAAAATAAGAGGCCCAAGGGCCTTAAGGGTCATCTGAATAAAAAACATTATTTTTGAAGGATCCATAGAAATATAAAATAAAACAAAATAAACTGATAAATAAAGCTAATTTTCCCATAAACAAGAGAAATTGGATAATCATGACCAATAAAATAATTAGTCTAGTGCCCAGCATTAAATCTTAAAAGTAGATCTTTTTCCTTCCCTGTACTTACCGCCATTTGTCACTAATCAACCTTCGGACAAAACAGAGCTTGAGCATTTTAAAAAATCCAAATCTCCTTCCCTCTCACATTTGCCTCTCTTGTTTTTGAAGAACATTTAATGCATAAAGATAAGGTATTTTGTCTCTTTATTTATTTATTTATTCCAACTCTACCTGATTATGAAAGCTATAAAATTACTTCTTGTATTATATATTTTAAAAATTCTTATATAATTCTCTTATTCAATTGACCTTTCAATTACATAATATACAGTGAATGATTTATTGTCATAGGTGAATAGCAAATGGGAATTAGTTCTCTCTGTAGACTACAAATTAATAGAGGCCACCTGGCACCAGAACTCTTCACCAAGTGGAAAATCTGATAAAAATGCCCTTCCTTATTACAATTTTGTACTCTGTTTGCCTCCTATAGATGCACAGGAGCAGAGAGGAACATTTTTAAAAGAATAATGCATTTTCAGCATAGATTCAACAGTCCCTGCCTAACCAGAACCTCTTACCCAGGGGCAAAAAAATTTCACAATTTTGGAAGAAACACACTTGCTTATCATAACTTTAAACTTGCTTGAATAAAACCAATGAATAGAGAAGAAGATTTTTCAAGGAATTAATGTATCACTTTATTATCAATAGATAATAGATAGGCCCGCATCACACGTCATTACCGGTTATGTTAATATAGTTGAAAATGAAGACTTAAAAACAATAATCTTAAAAGGTCCTAAATACAGGGAACCCCGATCTTTCAATCAGCAACAGAACTTCATTTCTATCATGAATTCTGTCAAGGATTATGCCAGACGTTGGGTTAAATGTGAAAGAAAAGACCTGAATATGTTGTCAATATGGATTACGTGTTTTATAAATACATGTATATTAAAGAGCCATATTAGAAAGTTAAAAGGCAATATGCGTACCATCTATCTTTCCATCTATCTTAAGTTTCCGTTTTCACTAAATCGGAGGTAATTAAAGAATTAGAAAGACTACGGTACATGAACAATAGGTTATAGTTCAAGCAGAAAAGGTTTGCAACTAAAATTTGTAAGGTTCAATTTTATGACTGCATTTTAGAAAAACTTGGATTTAATTCTACTTCTGGAATTCCAACTTATACTCACAGTTCACTTTCTAAGGAAGAAATACTTCAAAATTTTAGTCTTTAGTACTTTTCGCATTCCAGTCAACTAAGGTGAGTTCGATCTACCCTACCTATACTGGGTTCCTTAGCTTCATAAAAATTCTTACAAATAAAGGTTAAAGGTACATTTCCTGATCCATCAAATGCTCTACGAAGCCCCTATCTTTACTCCTTAAAAATATTAACTACAGTACAGGAGAAACTTAAGCTTCAGACGCACTGTGCTAAGTCATATTCTAGAAGTGGGTGAAAATAAGTGGATTCTCAAAAACTCCAAAGAACTTTTATAAAAGTTTAAAACAATCAATTATTTTCTGATGTCAATAACATCAAAATGTATGATTTTTCTTTACTTTATACAACCATTCCTCGTGATAAATTTAAAACAAAGGCTTCATGATATCATCTAGACAACTGCTTCTTCAATAAAAATGGAACTAGGAAATTTTCGTATCCTGTAATTGGTCATCAGCAAAAGTACTCTGTTAAAAATCACTCTGATTCTTAACACAAGTATACTGAATTTTCTATCAAAAGGATGCTGGATTCCTTATCCACAATATTTATGAAGTCTTCGGAGATCACGTCGTCCAACAAACTGTTGGAATTTCGATGGGCACTAATTGTGTTCTCTCTAAACCGATCTGTTTTTATTTGCATATGAAACAGAATTTACTCCAAAACTTCGACATGAGAAGAAAAATAAAAACACTTGCTGTGGCCTCGACATTCAGATACATCGAAAATGTTTTATTAATTAACAGAATTACTTTCATTCATATGTCGACTCGATATATCCCAGTGAACTTGAAATAAAAGACACCACAGAGTCTGCTACATATGTTTCATATTTGGATGAAATATATGGAGATAACGAACAGTATTCAAGCTCAGAAGTCCATTAAACAATACAAAATAGGAGCAGAGCAAACACGGACCTCCAAAACATCAGAGGTGGGATCAGGTGCCATGGAGGAGTGAGCATCCCCTTCCGACCGGTCACACCCGCCGAGTGCTCCTTGTCATGATCGGGAAATAACGGTGTAAATAATGGTCTAACAATTAGTATGAAAAACGTCAGTCAGCATTTGATTCAATGATAAATTGTATTTGCTGACAAGGTCATTGTATCGACCATAGAACTTACGAAATGATGACTTTAAGGACCCTCTATGCACTGATGAAAAAATGTTTTTGGACTCTTTTTGGACATAAAGGAGGATATTTTGAAATTAACTAACTCATTTTTAATACAGGGAGCGTGCCTTTTTTATTCAGGAAAAATCTCCAAAGACAATGAAGTAACAGAAAAGAAAAATTGCCTTCGCTTACTCAAATGAATAACATACATGCAAATAAACTATTCAAATACTCTATCTTGGTCTAATATAATGTTTAGAATACTTGGATTAATTTTAAATTATGTGATACAGTTCAGATTACAATTTATTCTACTTATGTGTCAAATGGTGGGTCAGTCTAATTACACAAAAGTACCCTGAAAATAAGGTGCAGTGTAGAGAGGGTCCTTAAACGAGACTGCTTGTTTCTTGTTTCATCAACTTGTTTGTCAATAATTTACTTCGTTTTAGAAACTGTACATACGTAGAGCATGCTCTTACGTACTATAAATGATAATGGCCAACTAACAACAAAATTGTATGACAATGGCTGATGATGATGGCTTCAGCTTTTCCATCGACAACTTTATTTATGTAGTAATATTCCACTATCACCTGCATTTGGTGTTTATATCTCCCAATTTATTCGGTACTCAAGAGCATGGTCTGAGTATTTTTTTTAAACAGAGGCAGTTTACTAACAGATAAGTTGATGTTACAACAACCTCATTTAAAGTCAGCATTTCGTAAATTCTATGTTTTTCACAATGACTTTGTTAACAAATATAACCTATCACTGGGCCGTATTTTGGCTGAGGTGTTTCGTACCAATTGGTTAGGCCTTTGTTTTTATACTTGATTTGATTACGGAATGTTCCGTCTACCTGATCAATACTCATCCTAGGCACCTGATCCAACCTCTGGAATTTTCAGTGGTCCATGTTTTATGTCTTGTTCACAGATTTTTTTGGGACATCGATCACTGTTCGTTATCTTCATTTTTATCAAATTTTATAGCTCTTCCATAGTAAAAAGATTTAAAATAAAAATAAATCAAATTCTATGTAACTTTGACCTATTTGTGGTCCCATCATATTACTTCCGGGGACAATGATTTGAGAAAATTCTAACCTACAACAAAAACACGCAGATGCTTGCATGTTATTATGACTGTGACCCACTTTATCATGACTTGGATATTCTCATTCTGTATTGCAACTGCAGTGTTTTTTTTTTAATTTTAAGTATAATCTCCGTCAAAATCAACAATGTCGTGAAGTTGTCCTTAAAAAAAAAAATCCGCAACAATTAGAAAACAGAGACTTTTTTCAAAAATTACTTTCTCATAAATTTTGTTTTCGAATTCTGGCATTTTGACAAAACAGTTATCTTTTAATGTTCCTACTTTGTCTGTTAACTTTAGTAAAAAAAACCATCTACACAAGAATAACACATTTAAAGACGTTGACAATTTACTTATACAAACAAGTAAACATGTTTTCAATATAAGAAATGCACGTTAAAACAGCTTCCCATTGTATACATGTACATGTATTTACAACAAAAATCTGTTTTCAATGCTTCAATGCTGTTTTCAATACTTTATATAATGCTGTTTATGTTTCTGTGTTAAGTTGTACTTAATCATTTCAACTTTATTTGAATACAAGTAAAAAAAAGAACACTTAGAAAGAATTCATAGATAAGATCGACATCACAGTATAGAATTTCAAAAATCTTGAAAGTTCTGTATATTGAAAAAGAATGTAAAAGGAACAAAATATTGCTTGTCATGTTTTGCGTAAATGTATTAAAAATGTTATATATATATATATATATATATATATATATATATATATATATATAATCATTGTCTTTTATGTATATTAGGCCAGTATGGTTATTTACTTGCAATATTTACCGACCTGAAGGGGTGAGTTGTTTGTTGTTTCATACAATGAATAGTTATATGAAAATTGTATAGAACTTCTTGAAATGTCATACGATATCACGAGTAATGTCAATGATAACTACCAGCCTCTTGATTATTGTTAACCTGCCACTGGCATAAGTTAAAATGAAATTATATTTTTTTCAACATATGGGGAATTTACAGCAAATTACAGCATAGAAAATCAAACTTCAAAAAATAAATACATGTTTCCAAACTGTATGGTTCAAACTTTCGTAGTAACATTTGATTCAAGAGTTGAGGAAAAATATGCATTTACAATCGTTTAAACATATTTCATAAAAACAACAGAAAAAATAAACTTCGAAACGAAAGTTATAGATGTTAATACATATCAAATCTTGAATTCCAATGTTGATTGTATTCCTTATGATTTCCCACAATATCGACATTTCTTTTTGTACTGTATTCGTTCTGTTTCTTAATCTGCTCTTTATGTTTCCGCTTTTCTTCTTCGTTTGCTTTCCTATTACTGAATCGCCAAGCGTGTACCCCGTATGCACAGAGCTCGACAAAAAATTGAACTACTTCGAAGATAGCTAAAATAGACAGACCGATCCACAAACCAATAGCTCCGCCAACATCTGACGCAAACTGGGCTGTCTACAAATAAATAACAAATTTATGTTAATTTTTTTGATATCACCTTGTCCAATGAATGTGACAAAAGCTTCGCAATAGTTGTAAGAACAAGAGAAAAATTTTACTCTACATGAAACAACAAAGTATAGTTCTATTTTAATGATTACTAAGAGATACATTCAAAACTTAAAAACTAGTGCATAGTGTAAAGTGACAACATACCGCTATTTCCGGTTCTTCTTGGAATTCCTCGTAGTTGAGATCTTCATAATAAATATTTACTTTCAAAAAGTTTAATCTAAAAACGAAGCAGTTCAATAGTATTAATCTATATCTGGAACAAAAATCGTAAAACTCAATAGGTTTCTTTTAAAAACTGTTTAAAATTCAGATTGAGAACATATCGAACTCACCCCAGAGATCGGGGATCAACACTTAAGTTGACAATTCTCTCACACTTCTGGGGAAACCCTTCACATAACCCTTGCATCAAAGTGGTCTGAAAGGGATACAATTTTGATATTTCGTTATCCCAAAAATCTTATCTCTTAAATGAAATAAAATTTATATGAATTATGTCGAAAAAAGTATCCTATTATTTTTTTAATTGGTTGGATTTTTTTAATACGTATGCAACACATTTACTTATTAAATTAAGAGTTTTCATTTTTTTAATATTTTTTTTAAAGAAAAATAGAAAGAAAACTAAAAACAAAGCATACAGCGTATTCCGTTGTCGGCCATTGTCGGCTGCTTGGAAATAATGAATACTTTTTCTCCCTGAAAAAGAGAATTTAAAAAACTGAACGAGATGGAAACAACTGGTTTTAAATCTCCTACAATTATTAATGTAAACTTTCCTTTGAAGTCTTTTGAAAATTTTGAAAACACATATCTTAAACAGGTCTTACTTGCATGGATTTAGACAGGAGCATTTCCTCTGCTGCGTATTAAATTCACTCGTAATTTTTGCAACGCATTGAATTTCTGAAAAATCAAATATCGGAATGATAATTTAAAGGTACTCAGTAAATTTAATTTAAGGTCGAACAAGAAAGTAAAATAAGATAATCAACAAACTGTATTTTTTACTATTACAATAGAATGAGGTTACTTTGAACAAATTTACAACGAAATTCTGCATTTTGCCAAAACTGCAAAATTAGAAAACTACAATAATTGAAACCACAGGTCACGATCAATAGCCTTAAACATTAAGATTCGACAAATAAAACACGTAGTTAAGAGAGGAAAAGGAATAAACAAATACATATCAGAAACTTCAAATGATAAACAAATACAATTAAATACAATTATACTGAGTAATGGTATCCATTTACATGCATTTCTTACTTTTGATTGATGACCTTAATGATAGTTTTGCATTATGTACCTTTTTGTGTCCGGCACCATTTATTTTTATTGGTGTTATTGGTAAAATGAAAGAACTCCTTGTATTCATGGGAATAACAACTACATTCACTCAACATGGCTGACTGCTCGCAGAAAATACGACACACCTGTGAAAAAAATGTTTCAAAAGGTGTCATTAAAAATTCTTCAACCACTGTATAAAAATACCACTTTTTTGAGTTGATAAAGAAAAGGAGAATGCTTACTGATCTTGAATATTCTATTTTGTTTTTTGCCTTAAAGTTTATGCCATCTTCGCATTTTCTGTGAGGCGGCGTAATGCGAGTTATATCAGTCTGTCAATAGAAATAAATGTAATCAAATTATATCCAAAAAGCTATAGTATTACTTCTGCAAAATACAATTTTGAAACATGGAGCAAAACGTATCAGCAAGTAGAGTGTTTCTTACTAGTCACCTCCTGTTTCTACACTTACCTGAATTTTCTTGTAGGCTTATGAGAAATAAGTATATTATTGCAATTTATGATTACTTCAATGGGTTTCCATTATTATTTAGTTTTCAATACACCGGAAAAAACCCTTTATTAATGCTAGCCTATTGTCTGCTAAGAGCAAAGAACTTAAGAAAAATGCTTTTTCAAGGATTGGTATATTTTCAGGTTTCAACCCTGTGACATCTATGAAGGACCAAAGAGATATGAAATACTCGTTTTCAGCAGAGGACATTAATTATTAAGGCACAGCATGCTTTCTGTTTTGGAGATATCCAGGAAAAGAGTGTAAAAATTTTCAATGATATATCATATATAATTTTCTTAAAATAAAAATAAATTGACAAATCCATCCAATTAGCAATTAATTATTAAAAGTGAAAGTTAATTTAAGTATCAAATAAATAATATTTTTTTTAAAAGCAAACCCCACTGCAAGCAAGGTATTAAGTAGAAGCTAAAACTAACCGAAGTTGTGTTCCAGATATGAATTACATTAAATCAACAAACTTTCGCAACACCTTATTTTCGCGAGATCGTTTTGTGGTATTTATAAGCGATGAAAAAAATTATCACAATTTTTTTTCTATTGATCCATAAATAAACTTTGTTAATTGAATTAAACGCAAGAATAAAATTTTGGCAGAGACGGTCTCGCGTAAATACGCGAACATAAAGTTCTCGCGAAATGAAAGTGATTTACGGTACGAAGAACTGTCCAGATAAGTCTAAAACTCCAACCGAGTATTCCCTTCCAAATTTGAATCGAAAACCAAGGGACCATGAAAGTCAAAACCTTGGGGAATAGTTATACATGTAGGAATGCAAACATTTAGGCTGCTTGATGTCCACTAACTCATAGGCTATACAGTTGTAGAAGAGCAATAATTCTCTAAAATCATGTAGTATTTTTCTATTTCTTTTTTAAAAAGCTTTCATAAGAAAAAGATGACTGTGTTACTATTACTTACCGATATGTTACTGTTGAAAAATAAAGAATTAGAAAAACTACATGAAAAAATATGTTTTGGCTCCATGCAGCTGACAAAGCTTGTAACAATATAATCTTTGTTTGTAAAGCTCATTATTTCAACTGCATTTTAGAACTCGGTTTTAATTCCACATCTAGTAGTGAAAACTATACTTAAAGTTCTCTTTCAAAAGATAAAATTCTTAAATATCAACTTTCAGTTTAAATACCTTTAACATTTCATTCAATGGAAGCGTGTTTGATTTACCGTCCATACGAGCATGTATACAGGATTCCAAAATTTCGTAAAAATCATTACAAACAAAGATATATTGCAGAGTTCTGTAAATCTTCAACCAAGCCCTTATCTTTACATCTTACCAAAATATTAACTGCTGTGAAGGAGAAACTTCAGACGTATTGTGTGCAACTAAAATGTACATAATTAAGAAGTGGTGTAAATCAGATGTGGTTTTAAACAAAAGAAAAAGCTTTTGGAAAATTTAAAATCTCAAAAATTTTCAAACATCAATAGCATCATTCCTCACAGTAAATTAAAGAGCAGGCTTTTAACAACAAAGAGAACTACTGCTTCCTCAATAAAAATGGAACTCGCATATTGTTATATCTTGTAAAGAGTCATCTACAAAATTTTTTTTCTTAAAATGATACTACTAAAAAGTACTCCGAAGTTGATATTAAAAAGTTGTTGGCGTTCCTCATTGACAATATCTATGTAGTCTTGGAGACCAGATCTTCCAACAACTTTTGTTGGAATTCCGGTGAGCACTAATTGTACCCCTTTATTAGTCTACCTGTTTTTATATTCCCTTCAAGCAGAATTTATTCAAAATCTTTTACATAAGAAGAAAACACTTGCTGTAGCCTTCAACTCTACATTCATATACATGTATATCGACGGCGTTTTATCAATAAACAATATTCATTTTCCTTCATATGTCGACTCGATATATCCCAGTGAACTAGAAATTAAAGACACCACAGAAGATGCCACATCTGTTTCATATTTGTATGTTTTACTGACTGTAGACAATAATGGCCAACTAATAACTAAACTGCATGACAAACAGGACGACTTTAGCTTTTCCATCGCCAAACTTCTCCTCTTTATAAAGTAATATTCCAACATCACCTACATGTACATATATTTACATGTGAGTCTCCCAACTGGTTTCGATACACAAGAGCGTGCTCTGAATACGATCAATTTTTAAAACAATGCAAGCTACTGACAAATAAGTTGATGTAACAAGGATTTAAAAACCCCACAACCCCATTTGAAGTCAGTTTTTGAAAATTTTAGTTTTCGTAATGACCTTGTTTGTAAATACATCTATCGTGGGTGTTATTTTATCTGACATATTTAATACAATTTGTTAGGTCATTGCTTTTATACTAAAATTGACTACGACGTACTCCGTATGCGTATGATCAATAAATAGGGCTCACGGCAGGTTTGACAGGTCAACTGGGGATGGTTACTCCTCCTAGGTACCTGATCCCACCTCAGGTGTTTCCAGGGGTCGGTGTTTGATCCTGTTCTCGATTCGTCTCATTTAAAGGATTAGATTAATCTCTTTTCGTCACATTTTACATTATGATCAATTTAGGCAATATTGAAAATGTAAAGCAAAACAATAATAATAATAATAATAATAACAATAATAATAATAATAATAATAAATTTTTTAAAAAATTGAAAATTATGACTTTAACATCATTGAAAAATGATAATTCACAAAATCATTCAAATTTTGTAAATCAATTCTCCGTTTCGAAATCTTGAAACATTTATGGCAATTTTTCATATTATTGACCTAGGAATGTCTTTATTTTCTAGTGTTATACATTTAAAATACGTATTCAGTGATGATAACTTTTGTAAATTGAATTTAAAATGTCCAAAAATGTTAGTATTTTGTTCAGACATAGTATGATAGCAACTACAAATAGCATTAAGCATGCCTAGCAATTTATTTTATATGAGAACTATGTAATGAAATATGTGGAGATAACGAACTGTATTCAAGCTCAAATGTCCGTTAAGCATTACAAAATAGGAGCAGAGCAAACACGAACCTCTGAGACATCAGAGGTGGGATCAGGTGCCATGGAGAAGTGAGCATCCCTTGCCGACCGGTAACACTCACTGTGTGCTCCTTGTCATGATCGGGAAATTACGGAAAAATCCGTCTACAATTCAGTGTGTAAATAATGCCTAAGAATCATTCATGAATAAATCATTCATGATAGATAGAGAACTTTGTTGCACTCCTGACTGCGGTTGAAATTAAAAACATTACACAAATCAATTTTAATTTTTTAGCAACATCAAACTCTAAATAAATGAAAAATACAACATTTAGAGTCCAATAGTTCATGATTAAAAAGGGTAAAATTATTTAAACTTTGCTTAATCTCATGCATTACATGTATTTTTCTTACTACGCATTAAACAGTAAAGGTTGCTGTGGAATTATCTTAAAGTTGTAACATTTTTTCCCTGTTTTGTTTCTATATTTTAAAAAAACTAAAAGAAAGGCTCTTAATTACATACTTGGATTGATAAATTTGAAAAAGAAAGATTTCAATAATAACACTGGCATCAATTTTAATTAGTACTTAACAAATGAAAAAGATTCTAATTTATAAAATCAAAATATTTATAACAAATAGAAGTCATTTCATCTTTGAATTTGTATTTTTTGAAAAAATTCACTCCTGAACGTGGAAATACGGATCTGCAACAAAAACAGATCATGTAAATGATTCATAGTTAAAAAATAATGTTCTTTTAGGTCTTTGTTTTCCGAAAAAGAAAGCAAATATGCAAGTTTTTACAAGCTTGGGAGCAAACAAGCAGTTGCTGTTCCTGACATTATACTCAAAGATACCTGACTTTCTGATATGAAGCTTGTTATTCATAAAAAATTTTAAAGCTTTTAAATGGAATATGGAGATAACGAACAGTATATAAGCTCAAAGTCCATTTAAACAATACAAATCGGTAGGAGAGCAAACAAGAACCTCCAAAAATGGTTGATTATTTATTGTTTAACATTTTAAAAACTGTTTTGTCTAGCACCACTGTATTTTTTTCAGTTGAACTCCCGACATGGTATAACATGTTCTCAGCACCAGATATGATCAAACAAAGTTACTATATTCAAAAATCAAAGCTCAACATATTGAATTTTATCAGGAAAATTTATTTCTAGAATCATGAACTATAATTATCATTGAATAGATCTCCCCCACCCCCCACCCCCCCACCCCCCAAAAAAGAAGAAATTTTCAAAATGTCATTATAACATGTTGCACTCCTTTTTAGCACTATTTTTGGACATAACTGTTTTACCACTAACGATATCAACGAGATATTTGAAAGGATATCAGGCAATATCAAAAGACATTCATTTACAAAGCCTGTAGTTTTAATGCAGGTTGTTTATCAGGTGTCCAGTCATTTTTTTTCCAGTTCACTCATATGAAGATATACATGTATTGGTAATGTTAAGCTTTGAACACCAACTTCTTGAGATATATATATATATATATATATATATATATATATATATATATATATATATATATATATATATATATATATATATATATATATATATATATATATATATATATATATTCCTTACCAAACGTAAACCAACGTGTGTTTCAAATGAGGATGAAATGAAAATTCCCTCTTGGGCTGGCATAGGAAAGGAACCAACGTCGTGGATCTGTAAACGCATTCCGTATCCCTGACTTATTCCCTGCAGAAACTCTTCATTTTCAGTATAAAATATCAGCGTCAACCCTGATGAATTTAAGAACACAATTCAGATATTGGTAATAGTTCAAATCCTTTGACTACTATACTTTTAAAGATTAGAAATCAAGCACGTGTAACAAAGCGTATGAGGGTTGATTCAAAGTAATGTCACAACTGCTATAAAATCTTAAATAATTAAACTTTATCAACACCATTTTTCTAAATACCCTTTTTATTTGAACTTTGCATTAAAACTTCATTCAGTTATATAAAATACCTTTTAAAATATTAAGATTAAAACACGGCAAGAATGTTATTGACGCCGTTATGACGTTTCTTCTTTTTTGCTTCTTTTTAATAATCTTAACTGCCATATTCCTGTAAAGCATCTTGTTTTGAGTTATTGTATTAAATTATTTGAACTTTGTCCAAATATTATTTCTAAGGCCAAACAAAAAAATATGTCTGGTTCCTGTTACATCTCCATAAAAATTAGGGTAGGTAGATAGGGATTTTTATTTTTATTTTTTTTTTTAACAAAATGATTTTCTTATTTTTTTTCTTTAGAAATAATACCTATCACTGCTTTGCAAATGGCATTTAGATGTGGTGTGATAATATACTAGTCAATATTGGTAGGGGACACCTACATGCTAGTTTGATTTGGATTAAACACTATTAAACTATGTTTTGCAAGGAGGCCGTCATTGTTGAAACTGCCATTGATGGAAATCGGGGAAAATTCCGGAAAAAATATGAAAATTGCCAAAAAAAAGTTTAGGGTCGGGGGTATAAAATAGGGAAGGTCGGGTAACCGGAACCACACATATTATTTTATTTGGCCTAAAGTCATTCCTTATTGATCTTAGTTGTAGATGAACTAAAAATGAGTGTCGAAAAGTATTGTCATAACGACGTCGGTAAATTCCTGCCTTCCGGCCATAGACGAGACCCAACACTGTGTTTATTTTAATATTTTAAAAAGTACTTCATATATCTGAATGAAATTTTAAGGCAAAACTTAAAATAGATAGGGGTATTGATATATATAACATTGTTGATAACTTTCGATTATTAAAGATTTTATAGCAGCTGTGACATCACTATTGGATCAAACCTTGTATAATTTCTAAATGCTTAAACAAACGAGCTTGCTTTTACAGAATATAAAAGGTCACTCACCAGAAGATGGGCCAGGATTCTTTGAAACAAACGTGGTAGACTGTATTGTGAAGCAGTTTCCATAATCTGGAGTATTTACCAATGTGAAATTCCTAAAGAAGAAGTAAATATACTAGTGGTTTGGAATTTTTTTTTATTCCTTGTAAAACTTATTTCTTTTAAGCTGAAATCATTAAAAGCCATTTTAAAATAATAAATTATCCAAACTTACGCAGAAAAGCATTTGTAGCCGTTGAAGGAACAGGCCAACAACATGTCTCGTATCTGATGTCCAGCATTGACTCTGACCATCCTAATAATATTAACAAGGATTATTTACAACAAATCTATTATGTTACATTATTTTATTTTTATGCCCCCGTAATCGAAGATTCGGGGGTATATAGTTTTTGACCTGTCCATCCGTCTGTCTGTCTGTCTAGCTGTTTATATGTTTGTTTGTGCGCAAAAACTTTAACATTGTCCATAACTTTTGATTAGTTAAAGCTTTAACTTTCATATTTCACATGTGTATTTCTTGTGACAAGACCAGACCTCTCTTTGGGTACCATCATATTTGACCTGTTGACCTTGACCTTGGAGATTGATTCAGTTTTGCAAAACTTAAACCAACTTTAACCTTGGTCATAACTTTTGAACAATTAACGCTAGGGTTTTCATACTTCACATGTGTAATTCTTGTGACAAGACCTTCCTTTGGATACCAACAATTATAGCCCATTGACTTTGACCTTTGAGTTTGACCTACTTTCGAAAAACTTTAATCTTGGCCATAACATTTAAACGGTTGGTGCTAGGGCTTTCATATATCTCATGTGTATTTCTTGTGAGAAGTCCTTTCCTTGGGCAACATTAATTTTGACCATTTGACCTTGACCTTGATGTTTGACTTACTTTTGAAAAACTTTAACCTTTTCCATATCTATTCAATGGTTGCTGCTAGGGCTTTCCTATTTCACAGTTATATTCCTCGAGACAAGACCTTACTTTTGGTACCAACATATTTGATTTGCATTTGAGAAAGTTTAACCTTCACTGTAAGTTGCCATACGGGGCATCAGTGTTTCACGAACATATCTTGTTTACCATGTTTTAATCATAGATTATCAGGCCTGTCTATGGGTTTCTTTATAAACTCGGACTTGAATCTTGTTTGCATTTGTAGATGGATTTCGAAAGCAATTTTGACAACAGTTATCATAAATATGAAATCTAAGAATGACAAGGAATTTTAACCTTAAAAAAGCTAACACAAAAATGTATACCTTGGCATTGCCAGATAGAGATTTTTAAATGTGTTCTCCACCTTGTAAAGGTCATCCCTCTTAGCGTCCTTGAACCCTTCGTCCCTATAACTGGGGTCATCATAATAGTCTCCATAGTCCGTTAGGTTGTCAAAATTGAAATTCTCGAAATCTTCAACAAATCTTTTCTTCCTCTTAAAACAGAATAAGAACATTATATAAGAATATATGAAGGATATATTATTTTTGTCAAGCATGTTTTAACTTTCAGCTCTATACGAATCGCTAGAACCACAATATGTCTAATATGGAACCCGACATTTTCATCAAAAGTGCTAAAAAATACACTAGAAACCTGCATTGAATACCAATTCATCTTCACAAGAAATTGTTTAGTGGTTAGAAAAACCACTAATGTGTACAAAAGGCTTCAATAATCTAAGAAAAAAATAAATAGCAATACTGATTTTTTTTCTGAAGAAAGGAGGTGTTTTATGTTAAAGCTTGGTATGAATAGTTTGTTGAAATATTGAACCTAGGTTTCCAACAACAAAAACAATTCCCATTTGATAATAAAAATAGATTGGAAATTTCATTTGCTTGAATTGTCGAGGTAGAATATTTATGTCCTCTAACACAGACAATCTTTTTTTTTGTACTAATCTTGTCTATGTAAGAAAATATTTTTCACATTCAAAGCACAGTAGTACTATATTATAACCATGTAAATATTGAATGATAAAAAAGCGCACAAATTGAATTGTATAGTGACGTTAATTACTGCTTTTGTAATTTCCTAGTGCATGCTCTATATGTGAGTATAGTTTTTGGTAGCATCACTTGGTGACGTGGTTTATTATATATATCATAACAAGTATTTTGAAAATAAATGACCAAGAAATATTGATTTTCATGCATTTGACATGCAACATGTACAAGTATAGATATATGTTCAAGTGGAATATGATATGGTAAACTTCTTCAGCGAAGGTGCCACTTTTACAACGACATTTAAACACATATATTAATGTCAAAACGACAGATGTTTTAAAATAATATTCCTTAAAAGATTTTTTAATCAATTTCCAAATAGTAGACTATATAGTGGAGCAGTTGACATAGTCTTTCATTAATTATTATTTTTTAATGACGTAGATTTCAAACAACACTTTATAAATTTATAATAAAATAAAAAAAAATACTTTAAATGATACATTCTGCATAATTGTGCATTTAACAAAGCTTTTAACAAAGCAGTCGATGTATACAATGGAAATCACGATGAACTATATTTCGGAGGATTTTAATTATGAAAAGACAATTTCTTTACTCTCTTACGAACTCATGCAATGTGTAGAGAATCAATGCATGTTTCATTCAAGTGTTTATAAACACATAGAACAAGTATGACTAGCAGGAGACTTTTTTCATTACAAGAAAGTTTTAATAATTTAAGGAGGAATGTTTTATTTCAAATAAAACTATTCTCAAAATTTTCCCTGGAAACAAATTCTTATAAAACAATTCAGAGCTAATATCAGTCTTTCAATGTTGAAACCTTTGTTGAAAAGGGATCTCTTAAAGATCCATCATATAAAATTTTGGTGTAGCATTCCTTCGATATCGTAACTTTCCTGAGTGTTGCGGTTGAGTGACCACGAAATTGAAAACGTAAACATCTACACATACAGGTTATATGAATCCAGTCTGATATTTCGATATTTAACTTGCAAAGTACAGATACAAAGGCTTACCTAGGCTGTTTACCCTCCCTCGCGAGAAATGAGAACTAATTGGTTAAGAAATCCTGTTGAGTTGAAGGCTTTGTAAGCCTTTTACTTATGGTCAGATGGTTCATCCTGTGAATTACAATGCATAAAAAAAAACTACCACCACAGAAAAGAGACTAATAACGTCCACCAACCAATGAACCCTCATGAACTATTAACCTCTTGGTTAAGAAATAAAAAAAATACCATGCTGAAAGAAGATGAAAATTAATCGTACATGCACAATTACAGGTATTTTGTTAATCTACTAGAACCAAAGTAATGTTAAACTTGTGCTGGGATCACAGAGAGATTTTATTTAACCTCCTGAGTGGCTATTACCTTCTTACCACCAGGCCCCGGCGGAGGCATTGGTCCGGGAGGCTGCAAAAATCACAATATTTTGTCTATTGCACTGTAACTAAAAGAACTGCAACTACAAACTACATGTTTACTTCATTTAGTACAGAAAATTCTATATATCTATCCTGCTTCGAGGAATATATATAATTTTTATACGCAATTTCTGTTGCTTGTACAACCTCTTGCGTAGATTCTTTATCTTTGAAAATTTTACATGTATAATTGCTTTATTTCTACAAAAAATGATCGCTAATCATTTCAGTTCTTAGAGTTTTATATGAAACATTTATAATGATTTTCATACGTTAATACTGAGTTTGATCCAAACATAGGTTGTAAACCAAGTTGTCACGTGATTTAACACCCATGATGTGGACAGCTTGAACCAGCACCTGTCTGCTTGTGAATGTACTACAAATTATAATAATGGATTAATAAGTAATTAAAAAGAAAAAAAAATGAACTTTCCTGCTTCTGGGGATTCCTTGCGACTATGTAAAAACATTATGCACAATATAATTATTTGTAACTTGGAAAGAAAAATCAGCCTGAAGTCAGAAAATGCCCCCCCCCCCCTCCAAATATTACTACAGCTACTGAAGTGACATAACTTTCCATAAAATAATGTACAATTGTGTTTTTGGAATGAGAAATATATGCATGGGATTACAATTTCCTTTTACTCTGCCTTTTTCTTCACACTATATGAGATTTTCTAAGTTGTGCGTCCCTCGCAGTACTAAGTCTCTTTAAACAACATAAAATCTTCTCTAAGCCACAGTGCTTGTGGACAGGAACAACTCCCCCCCCCCCACCCCCAAATATACACCCCGGGTCCAAGGATATTTTTGTCTTTCATTCTTTTATTCTTGTTATATTCGGGGGGGGGGGGGCTCCTTTACATTATACAGTACCTCTTAAAATTCATTTTTTAAGTGACTGATAATTTTTTAAATACTGCAAATTCTATATTACGAAAGCCCATTGAGCTCATTTTCGTAGGTAACAAAAATATATTTTTCGCGTTATAACGCGAAACTTTCGGGAATAAACGCGTAACTTTCGCGTTATAACGCGAAACTTTCGCAAATAAACGCGTAACTTTCGCGTTATAACGCGAATAAACGCGTAACTTTCGCGAATAAACGCGTAACTTTCGCGTAATAACGCGTAACTTTCGCGTTACAACGCGTAACTTTCGCGAATAAACGCTTAACTTTCGCGTTATAACGCGAAATTATACATATATAGTCATGTTACTCAGGAACCTGTGATCTTGACTGTCAGATAAAAAACATTAACGCAGAGGGGACTTCTATGAATTTATAAATGACATTTCTTCAGAAGATGTAAAAGAGAATTGATGCGAGAAATGGATAGATTAGTGTTGATTTTGCATTTAATCTCAAAACCCTACTAATTAATTAAATGAATATTCCTTTAAAGATTTTCTTGTTTTTCACTTGTTGAATCCAAGAAATTCTGTAGACTAATTTTTTTTCTCAGGAAGATCTCCACTCGTTGCTTTCTTTGAATAAATTGTCAATGTTTTCGTAAGTAATGGTATGACCAAATGGTGCAACCTTAAAATACAATGTTGTATTTCTTCAGTGAGTCTATCGGAGATGAAATATTTGATACGAATATTTGTCATCCAATTTTCACATAAGGTTACTCATGTGATGTGACACAATTGTTCCGTGAAATACAAATTTACATCATTGTTGTCAATTTTCTGAGATCTTTTATTACAAATTCTATATAGAGTGTTCAATCTAATTAAATTAGACTTGTATTTTCGCTCCTCTACTATACGCTTCAACACTTGTATTGAACAGCATTGAGAAAGACAAAATGTGACGGCAAAAAAGATTTAGAAAGAGGAAAGACACATTCAATGGCGAGAAAACATAAAATTTCAGCTCGTGATAATCCAAGTTCAAAATAGTCTTTCGTTTTTCACTGTAATGAATAAACTAGATCATTAAAAAGTAAAACAAACTGTAGACTTATGCAAATGTCTCTGTTTTACAGGGAAAGTTTCGCGTTATAACGCGAAAGTTTCGCGTTTATTCGCGAAAGTTACGCGTTTATTCGCGAAAGTTACGCGTTTATTCGCGAAAGTTTCGCGTTATAACGCGAAAGTTTCGCGTTTATTCGCGAAAGTTACGCGTTATAACGCGAAAAATATATTTTTTTAAGGGAGCCGACTGGGGTTTTATTGTGTGAAAACTACTATAGAGAAACTCTTTAATTTTGTTCCATATGTACCTTACATTGACTTCAGTATATATGCCAAGTTTAGTGAACATCTACCGTCTGGTTATTTTTTAGGGACCATCTCAAAATACAGGTACATTTACTATAGGATTATATGGGAAAATACCATTTTTTCGCACTCCGGAGCAAATTATACAAATGCTACTATAGACTTTTTGCTCAAATTATATTATATGATGGGTAATACTATATTGTACATTTTTTGCAAGAAACACAAAATTCTACCGTCTGGTTTCCAGAGGGGGGCATCTCAAAATGTTAAAAATCGTGATATTTTCCTGTTTTTATGGAGTACAACAAAACATGACAGATACCACAGATTTACATAAAATAATAATAAAAATGATTGTGAGATTCTCAATTTCCTGTGTTTAAAATTTCAAGAGCATCTATTTTATACTTTTTATTTTATGACATAATTAATGACCCCGCTTAAGGAACTTCGGTTATTCATAACGTCAAAAACACGCTATTACGACGTCTCTCTACCCATCATTTGAAAAATTGTTTTAAAAATCAGTTATTTAAAAATGTAATTAGATTTTTTAACCTTAGATTTCCTAAATTTGTTAATTTTTATAAATTATGTAAAAATAGTTGCTTTAAAAGAGTAAATACGCTTTATTTTACTATGCTGCGCGAAGTATTGCGCAATGAAAACCCCAGTCGGCCCCCTTAAGCTACGAAAATGAGCTCAATGGGCTTTCATACTATATACATGTAAAGCTGTAAACTAGGAAAAATTGCTTTCATTGATTTACAAATTATATTTTCTAGGAAGGTGTATAGATAAAAAGAGCACACTTTCTCTTCACATAAAGCTTAAGTAATGTCGCCCCGACATATTATACATTAACTGACTAGGCTCCAGGGCAAAATGCGTTTTGTCGGATCCAAGAACCAACCTATTTACCTGGGGCTGATAGTTCGAAGGCAAACAGTTTGGTTCGAGGGGTCGGCAAAACGCATTTTGCCCTGGAGCTTACAGTCAATAAATGTTTTGTTATACCTTTTACTTTTTATTTTTACATTTCTTGCCCTAGCTTCCATATGCATGATGTAAATTTCGTTTTTCGACACTGCGGATTAATTTAGCTGATCCCGCATAGAGTGAGATGTGAAAAACTTCATAGCGGTCCAAAATCTCATCGGCAGGTCCAATATCTCATTCAGCTGTCCAACATCAATTTTTTTAACAGCTCATGCAGTAAAACATTGTAAATAATAGACTTTTTAAAATGTACATTTATGTAGCAAACAATTTTTAAAGGCATATTAGAATTTCATTGTAACGTACGATATGAAAATATTTACTTTCTATCCATTGGAAATGCCATTAAAAGTGACACAAAGTTAATCCTTATGTACATTGTGTACATTAACTACATGTGCCTTAGGTTAAAGTAAACGGTGATCACGCTGACCTTCGCGATAGAAGAGATTTTAAAATTTTAGCTACAACAACAAAAGTGTTAACAAACAAACAAATATGGCTTTAAAATCCACTCCTCAATGAAGAGTGGGAAATTATGAGCAATTACGATTTAAAATGAATTTGATTGATTTTTATCTTTGGTTACATTTTAAAAGAATCCTTTCTGTTAGACTCATGAGGGTAAGATGACCTACTCCTTTTCGCCTGTTTTTGTGTTATTTTTTATATTTAAGGTAAAAATCGTGTTGAACAACTTATGATTAAAATGCCATAGGGAAGACGAGGAAAATTGATTTTCGATTTATCTTTTTAAATCGCATGTTGAATTTCGAAATATCGGTACAAAGTATAACTTATCGATATTACGTATGGGCTCGTAAGTCGAGTATTTAGTACATGTGTAATTAAAAGTAATGGTTAAAAGTACTGGAAATTATAAAATTCTTGTAGTACTTTGTTTAATAGTTTAATTTCACCACTGGTAAGAATAAACACCTAGCTAGTCGAAAGGTCACTCACAAGTTTTTTTTCTGTTTTGTCTTATTTAACGTTTCAAACCAGTTACATATTTAGATATGTTGGTGGACAACTCTACAAAAATGAAACAAAACTCTACAAAAATGAAACAAAATTTTCAGGTCTTTACTAAGACTTTCACTAAAACATTAACCCGTGATTTCTCTGTTTTTGAGTGCTACGTACATATACTTACCTTCTTGAATATGTAAAGCTTAATTAGAAATTTTCGAATATATCAGTCACATACTTTGGAAAACTTCCTTGAAATTATTGAATTATAAATAATGTAAAAATCACTTATTTTCATGGGGTCAGATTTTCTTGGTTTGAGAAAAAAAAATATTGGTTCGTAGGGATTAGATTTCGTTGATGATGAAATGTCAGATTGTCTTAATTTCAATTTTTACTATTCGTAGAGGACATAAATTCCTGCGTTTCTTCCAACCAACATAAAAAAAACCCATGAAAATTAGAGATTAAGTAATTATTGCCATTATTCAATACACTATTTGTGTCACTATTGCATAATATCAGTTTTATAGAAAATTCCTCGATCAATTTGACCGCTTTGATTGTGTGCTTTTAGAGAAGGACTATCAGAACTCGAATGATTGCAATCAAGCTTGTTTTGCTAAATTGTAATGTAAATTGTCATATACCTTAGTACATGAACCCCCATCTAACATTTTGTTCAATTCGTAACAAATCGGGAAAACAGAATCCCGAATTCCGTTTACGAAAACAGAATCCCAAAGAGCATTCATTTACTACTAACAACCTTATATTACAAATTACATAAACAATCCTTTCAGCTAAAAGACTAACCTTTGGAATTTTTTTCCTGGGATCAAATCGACTCGGATCGGTGATGGCGACAAGATTTTGCAATCCAATAGATGTAGTATGGAGTTCTGATTTTTTGACAACATTCATATTGCACACTGTGACGGCTGGAAATTGAAGACTATTGAATCCCAAAGAAATTTTGGTCTGAACGGGCAATTCCAAAAACTGAGATATGAGGTAGATGAGATGAAATATCATCCAACCAAACGCCACCAGAAGTAGGAACACCCATATAGCTTTTGAATACCAGAATCTTGCAGAGTTTATATACCCAACCCCTTGCATGGCTGTTTTATCAGCAAAACGTCCGAGGAGCTTCCGAAGGGATTTTCTTTTCTCCATAGAGTTAGCAAAAGAACCATCATCCTCATCGTCAGACCTATTGTCAGCGCCATGCTAGAATTATTTTTCAAAAAGAAATGATAATCTTAATATTTGAATAAAACATGTAAAACGTAAAAACCTCATATTTTTGGTAAATGACTGATTTCAAAAATACACTTAGTCTATCTCTCAAACTTGAGAATATTTTTCAGGTACCTTATAATTGAAAAACGAATCGTATTTTAAGACGTGTTTTCGTTCGTTGTCGTTCGTCGTGTATCGTATGTCTTGCGTTAACAATTGAACATTTTAAGCTTCTTCTCTGGAACATAAATTCTTTTAAAAGCTTCTCACACTTTTTTTTATTGTGCAGACGAATAAAGTGCAAGGTTATGATAAGTAAGGGTACCTCTTCCAAAATTGTGAAATTCATGCCCCTCGGTCAATGGTTCTGGTGTCAAATTGGGATTCTCGTTATCATTAAGTGAAAATGCAAAAATTCTTTTAAAATCTTTTTTCTCCATGTTTACAGAATTTAGCAGACAAACTAATGAGCAAAAGTGTCCCTTTCAAAATTTGTGAAATTCATTGCACTTGTGTAAGGGGTTCTGGTGTTATGACCGCGCTCTATTGATTATACAGTGCAAATACATTAATTCTATGAAAATCATCTTTCCTTATCCTGGGTATTCAGCAAGTAAGCTAAGTGCATAATTATGATGAGTCAAAATGCCTCTATCAAAATAGGGAAATTCCTGGTCCCTGGGTCAGGGTTTCTGATTTTATGATGGGACTCTACTGATTTTATATACTGAAAATGCGTCAATTCTTTGAAAATCTCTGCTCAGGGTTGTATTAGTAAGGTGACCGTTATAGCCCTTGGGCCTCCTGTTTCTAATTAATCTTGTCTGGGTTAGATTTCTTCGTAAAAATGTGTTTCACATCCTTTTTCTGCCGAGTCCACTAAATATCAGTAAAATTTAATATCTGTAATGTTGCGTACACATTCCCTAAATAAGATAGCTAAACATCTTCCTTTTTTTCTAATTTAACAATTAACGAGCAAAAAATCTGCTCAAATGACTCGTTTCTTTCAAATATATTTTGCAATTGCTTGGCCAACAGATCACGCGATAATATATCCGTCTGATGAGGCTTTTAAAACTTTGCTAAGATAGGACACAGAGATTGAAAGTTGGAAGCTCACATTAGTGGCAGGCCTCAACATTTACTGACAAATCCTTTTGTCCATCGGACAAGTTGCCAACATATGTTACTGATCCGAATTCATTGTTAAATTGTCCGACTCTGTACAGGTATTATGGTGGCATAAAAATGCAACGTCATTATGTGTACATGCAAGATAATTATGTTGACATGTAAGTTATACACCTTTTAAGATAATTTGATATTAATATGGGCAAATTTACTTACTAACGCCAGTGACATCACAGATGCAACATAACCATGATGACATGAGATAAAATTATGTAGACACTAGATGAAATCCCGCGCAAGCGCGGGGAAATGAATTTATACCACTACCGACAGAAAAAAATCTAATAATAATATTATATATATTGTAGTTTCTACTGACAGCCTACAGGCTTATAGCAGGAAGAAATACTTTGTTCAAAATCCCGAATGAAGTAGAAGTACGTCTCCACCCCCCCCCCCCCCCCCGGTAAAACTTAAATAGCAACATCATTAATTAACGTTTATTGAGAAACCTGTTATATACTATGTTATGGATATTGTATATACTATGTTATGGATATTGTACTTCAGATGCTCTTATTTCATTTCCGTCAAGAATAAAAGCAGTGAATATGCACATTTTACTGAGAAATAGATTTTTTTTTTTTTTTGGTAAAAATTCACAGGTACTTGGGTCTTGGTTTATAAATATGTATGTACCTTATTGATATGTAAAAACTGTACCTTACCTCTTTTTTTACATATCAATAAGGTACATACATATTTATAATCCAAGACCCAAGAACCTGACAGTGTAAAACTTAGCTTTTATATAACGCCCTATGAATACACTGGCGGATTTAGAGGGGGGCAGCCCCCTCCCGTTTTGTGTCCAAAATATACATAAAATTTAATAAATCAATTTTTTGGTGTGTCCGTGGGCCCCTACCCCAACCCCAAACTGGTTCCCCCCCCCCCTTTCAAGATTTCTGGATCCGCCACTGGAATAGGCCAAGTATTTGATACAAAAGATTGTATTAAAAAAAACTGAAATGTATTGATTAAAGCAAAATTTTACAGCATAATTATATTTGAATAATGCCTTTTTCATATAAGCAAGTTTATTACGAAGTACAAATTGTACTTCGGGTTCGTTGCCACGATGCCCTCGGTGAGGAATATAAATTTTACCGATAAATTTATTAGGAAAACCTACTACATATATGTAATAGCCTTTCGATATATAAATATATTCACAACTTACAGTGTTATCAATGATTTACCACTATTTCAATGACCATTCATTCAAAAGCTTTTTATTTATGTTAAAGCAGCTATAATCGCCTCGTTTTTCTTTTTAACATCGGGCTCGATGCTATATGATGTTCTAGAAGCTTCCGTCAATATTAAGATCGGTGAATGACAAAAATAATTTACACATTTCCCTTTTTAATCGGTTATCACAATTTATTTCTTTTATATCATTTAAATCAAGATTTGATTGAATAATTCAGTAATGACGTTTAATGAAATAAATAAACGATTGCTTGTTGTCAGTTTCATTAAAAATTGCCAGTAACTTAGATCCGCCAACCGGAAACGCCACCGTACTCACGTTTTTGCTATTTCATGGCTGTTTATAGAAAATAAAAGTAGACTTTTAATTTAATGTACGATACTTACAATGCAAGTGAAATCTACATATAGTTTACGGACATCATCTTGTATCGTGTGTATTCTAAGAGGAGTAAGTAAGAACTGTGGTTCACTCGTTTCGGAGTTTATTTGCAAAATTTATTAATTTATAAGTATAGATGCGACTTATTCACGTTAACGTTACAGGGATTTCCACAATCTCGTTTAAGGACATACATAACGTACATATACACTCTCTTTACAACGTACATACCTACTGATAATTTTTCAAGATACATGTATTCTTAATTTAAAATCATAGTATCATTACAAGTTCGTAGACAAAAAATCAGCGTACATTACCAGGGGTTTTGAAGAGATATCAAATGATAACAGTCCTTGTGTTTTTCGAAGAAAAATTAACATAAATATAGTTGTATGTGGTTTTTCTTTACAATTTAATTTAAAGAATGTGTACAACATTAGGAATAATATTAGTCGCAAAAAAGTCTATCAATCATTGAAATTTTTAAGAGTAAATAAAGCTCAAAACTACGTTGTGTGTGTCCTTAAAGTCAGCTTTTTGTAAATTCCATGGTCGTTATAATGACCTTATTAGCAAATATAATCATTGCGTCGCATTTTGGCTGACTTGTTTATACCATTTGTTAGGCCTTTGTTTTTATATTGAAATTGACTGAATGTTCCGTCTACCTGATGGATACATACATGTAGGGCTCACGGCGGGTGTAATGGGTCAACAGGAGATGCTTACTCCTCTTAGGCACCTGATCCCACCTCTGGAATTTCCAGGGGTCCGTGTTTTATGCCCTATTCACAGATTTGTAATGTTTGTCAACATGCAAGATAATCATGCTAACATGCAAATTATTTAAGTCAACTTGCAATATAATTATGTTGATATGCAAGTTATTTATGTCAACGTGCGAAATAATTACGTTGACATGTGACTTATCTATGCCAAGCTTCCCTTTTAAAATGACCCATTTTCAAATCAATATTATTAAATGTTGCATCTTGACATAAAAAAAATCGCATGTCAAAATAATTATCTTGCAAGTCGACATACTTTTCATGCATGTTGACAAAATTTATCTTGCATTTAGGGTGGGGGTGGGGTGGGGGGGGGTATAAACAAATTTGTAGAACTTTATTTTCTTCAGAAATAAAGTAGTGATAGTTGTAGATAATATCAACTGATATAAAAAAAAAAAGTAGCACTGTCTTTAACCTAGTCTAGATCACCCTCGTTAGTTATTAGTATCGGGTTGAAATGACACTGAACCCTAAGGATTGCAACTTTTCAAACAATGACAGTGGTTAATGAATTATGTCGAGGATTATTCACAATATAACATAAAGGCAGAAGAGTCATTTGTCCGATCGGACAAGTGTGTCTGGAGATTGACTTGTCTGATCTGAACTGGTAACGGATAGTCGGGGGAGCGTTAATGTTGAGTCCTGAGTGGTCAGAAAAAAAGGAGTTAGGGTAAATTTTGTGAAAATGTATATTTTAGATAAAATACTGACTTACAGCAATACAGTTTTTTTTTGGGGGGGGGGGGGGGGGACTTGAATGAATTTCTCCCGAGTTTATAGATAGTTACAAACATCGTTATCTGGTATGTGGAAGGCATATATCGGGAAAATGGATAGAAATAAAGAATTTAAAACTTCACAACAATATTATATATGAGAGGAAAGAGATATCGTGTTGCCTATTTAAAATGTTAACTGAACCTTAGAATCGGAATTACTTTAAGAGCCCTATATACACTGCACAATTAAGAGTTCTGATTTTGTGGTATCTTCATGCAGATAAAGTAAACTGCCCTTTGATCACTAATAAAATAAATTAAAATGTAACATATATAATTACTTATTTTGTGATCAAATCAAGAATTCATAACATTTCAATAGGTCAAGATGAATAGACTGAACACTTAAGTAAACAACAGTGATTTCTGTTCTTCAGTACTTCATTGTCTCTGAACATTTTTCCTGGGGCTAAATGCTAGGTATCTTATGTTGAAAATGTATAAATAAGCTCAATATTTACACCTTTACGGCTGCTTTACACACTAAAATTTTCTCAATATCCAAAAAATCTTTTCCTTTAGTGTGTAGAGGGCCCTTAATATCTACATCATATAATCAAGTTTACTCCGTTCTATGTTCGGTAAATTTTAAGTCCTACTCGTTAACCATCTACAGGTGATTCTTACTGCCTTAGAAATGGGAAACCTTATGAAAAATTATCAAAAAGTACATCCAAATATTGATAAAACCATGAAGTACTGTGTAATTTTACGTACCTCCCTCCTATCTCCATAGTCCACAGGGGGGTCTATACTGTAGGGTCTGTGAACTCCGTCTGTAAATAGAGCACGGCTACCTAATGACTCATACTGCTCAGAGGGAGGGGATCGAAAGTCACGGGGGTCGGGATACTTTGATCTCATATATTCCACCTCTCTATCCGCCCTGTATAGCCCTCTTCGTCCACTGAGATTGCCATTAGAGTACATGATTCGCTGGTAAAAGACCTCAGTCCATTCGGTGTAATGCTGTAGATATTCCTATTATAACTGTCCGTTGCAATAATGTATTTTCAGTTTTTTAAAGATGGCATGATTTTTTGAATAATGGTTTCAACCTTTTTAATCCGACGACACGAAGTAAACTTTCGACCGATCACCAAGCAGAGACACATGTTTAAAAGTCTATTACGTTTACGCTGTTTAGTCAACCATCACACTTTTTAAAACTGGAAACATGAAGACTTTTTTATGTGTACTAGCTATTGACAGTTACAATCGTTTCAGTGGACACAATACACATCTAGAATAGCAAGCATTTATGAGGTGTTCATTGATACAAATATAACTGAAGATAAGGCAAACAATTAAATGAGGTTTTCTATAATGGACACTACAAACAACAGATTAAATCTATTGCAGACAGGGCCAGTAATGGAACATTTACTGTACAAATAGAATTTGTCGACATTTTACGATTCAATATCAACTCTGCCAAGAAAACCCGGGGTTCTTGCATTACTAAATTGTAAAATTCATGCATAAAAGAAAATGAATCCCATATTTCATCTCCTAATTAGTTCGAATCAACACCGTGACTTTGATTTGCAAGTTCATTTCCTCTGGGAATTTTTTTTCTGACTTAAAATTATGCACAAAAAAAATTGGTGGATATGAATATCCATTTTAGTATAGCCTCCAGCTCAGCAATTCTTTCTTTCCATCATTCAATAAAATTATGCAGAAAATGCTCATACGGTACTGTGTTAAAATAAGGTTCAAACCAAAGCCCCTGGTTTTTAATTTTACATCCAATGGGTTCGGCAATGTGCGAGGGGTCTGTGATTGCTCTACTTTCGATTTTATTGTTTATTAGGGGTCTGTGATTGCTCTACTTTCGATTTTATTGTTTATTTGGACTCTGGAACAAGATGACTGTTTGCTACCTTCATATTTTCATAAAGTTTAGTTGATAGTTTAGCGTAAACCAATGTCTTTCTCTAGTAAGAGTTCAATTTGGATATATCGAATCAACATACGAGGGGTATCAAAAAGTTCGCGAACTATCTCTACATTTACAAAACCACAATTCAGATCAGAATGAAATTTGGCACACATATAGTCATACATATATTCTATAAATAATATTTGTTATATAATATTTTGCTCCGTATTTGTGACGTCACAATGTGAAAATGACTCAATATGTAGGTGACTTGTAACAAAAAATGGTTGACTCATTCGTGCTCGAGCAACGAACGGCTGTAAAGTATAACGTATATCATGGAAATTCCTTTGCAGTAGAATATGATAATTTGTACAAGGTTTATGAAGACAAAAGACTTACCAGAAGTTCAATCATTAATTGGATTGATTGTTTTAGTGAACGCAGGGAGATGGTTAAAAATGATGTTTGTTCTGTTGCCCAGCGAAAGCAAGCCGGGGAAAAGATGGCCTCAGCAAGAGACGTCTTCTTTTCAGTAAAAGTTTTTAAATTAATTCTGCTTCATGAGCATACAAAAATAAAGGGGCACAATTAGATTCATGGGAATTTCAACAGATTGCTAAATGTCAATGAGGAACTCAGACATCTTTTTAATATTAGCTTCAGAGTACATGTACTTGTGTGTTGAATCAAAGTGAGTTTGTAGATGACAATGAGAATTTGAGATAGGAAAATTTGCGTGCTCCATTCTTATTAAAGAAGTAGTTATCTATGGTGTCAAAAAGACTGAGTTTTTTTTTTATTTTCACGGAGACTTATTGTATATAAAGTGTTGAAAAAGTAAACTTTTCTTCTTTATTTAGTATTATTCCATTATCATGTGCTTATGTGTTTATGTATCCAAACATATTCGATACGCAACAGCATGTTCTGAGGGGAAGGATACTGTCAAATAGATGTTACAGGGATTTCAACAACCTTGTTTAAAGTCAGCATTTCGAAAAAATTATATGGTTGTTATAATGTCATAGTTTGCCAATACAATTTCCCAATGGGTTGTATTACTGCTTACATATTTTCGTACATGTACGTAGGTAATAATTTTAGACTTAATTACTCCGTGTACTTGATCAATATATATAGAGCTCAAGGCGGGTGTGAGCGATCGACAGGGGATGCTTACTCCTCTTAGGCATCTGATTCAATCTCTGGAGTCCAGGGGTCCGTTTTTTATGTCCTGTTAAAAAATTTGTATTGTTTTTGAGAATTTTGAGATCATTCAATTTTTGTTATTTTAACCTTTTTCAGTTTGGTTGAAAATTACGTATACTGGTAAATTCAGTCGGTTCAACTTGTAAACTATAGTGGTACGGACTACTTCATCCATTTCAGTTATAATTTCATTTAATAGAAAAAGATTACCAAATTTCAGTTCTGTAGTACATTTTATTTTAATTAGATCATATGCCATTGTCATTTCTGATGTCAATTCATATGTTTTCAAAATTTTTGTACGATGAAATAATTAAAATAAATGAAAAAAGGTTAAAAATATTGAATAACGATACAAAAAATAGGTGTCACGATTTTTAACTTCGGGGTAAATTAGGTATATAGAGTCTTAATAATATACTAGGGCTAAAGCTGTTGTGTAAAAATAAAGTAGCTCTCAATTTTCAAGCTGGATATAGAATTCACTAAGTATGAATCTTATGACATTTCCCGTTTTTGTTAAGTTTTGTAGATTTCCCTCCATCAGTATGTAAAAATACTGCAAAACGTTCACTATATATAAGTGAAAAAATAGTACAATATTGATTGAATATTAAAGCCTTCTTTGCACAGTTTAGAAAAGATATAAAATATGTATTTTTCCTTTCTAAAGTGCTACATGTTCAGTATACATGTAAATTGACCGATTTGAATTGAACATGTATCAGTTTTCAAATTAAACTAAAGAACAAAAATACATTCAGTGAACAGCTCAGTAGGAAGAACATTCACTTTTGGTTTTTGTTTGTTGGTTTCTATAGGGCCACGAACAATCAAAAGCGACCTCATCTAAAAATTACATCATGTAGACATTCAGCTTTTCCTTTGAGGTGCTTTAAATGAGACGGTATAAATCAAGGCATCAAGTCATAATAAGTGCTTTAAGGATAAAATCCTCCACTGCTCATTGTGTTCAAGGGAGAGAGACCCAACGTCATTTACCATAGCTATGCTGGGAAGGGCAAAGATGTGACAGATGCTGGAAGGTAGACCGGCTGAGAGCAGTTCTTAGGTCGTGTGAAAGAGGCACCATTTAGTAACTGAGAATAAAAATCAAAAACAAACCCATACCAATATTTTTTTTAAAAAATAATTAGTTTCTAGTGAAGTAAATTACATAATAAAAACAGTCAACCAGTCTCTTGAGATGTTAAGGGAAGTAACTCAAAGATAAAGAACGGTGCCGATATGCTTGTGTCTTGTTTCTTTATATACATTTTCAGCCAAAATATCTAGATGTCATAGGAAAAGAGGATACAATAATGTATATAATACATAAACGATATGAAATAAATGAGTTTTGGAGAAATCCTACGGTGAAAAATTATGTAGGTCCCTTTTATCAACATTTTGCATAGGAAATGCATTGAGAATTGTAAAATCATTGACTTGACGAAATCTGAAACAGGTTGGCTTGGTGGGTAAAACTTACCAGAATATAACCTGTTTAATATATGTACCATTAAACCTAACCAAGAGTTCTTGAAAAATTCTATACGATATCCAGGAACCTTGCCAATGTCCTTAAAGCACGATTAAAAAAAATCTTAAGCATAATCATTTTTTCACAAATGAGTAAAATCGATCGAGACCATTATTTTGTGTAATATACTTGAAGCCTGATGCTATTTGATTAGTTTCACATTTTCTAGAATGTGATGCCAATTATAAGCAATCAATCAGAGAAAAGGGCTAAAGGCCTATAAAAAAAATTTAGTAAACATATTTGTCTAACACTTCATATTTGACAGTATTTTGTTTAAGTATTAACAATAATATTGAATGCATAAAAACAAATTCTTTTAAAAAAATTAAAAAAAAAAAAATACAGAGGTAAAAAAATAACATCTGAACCAACATGATGCTTTAAATAACTCAAATATATTGATTGAATACATGGCACATATGTATTAAAACAAGTTTATGGCGTGAAAATGTGCGTGAGGGTGTGTTGTGGTGTGTGTGTGTGTGGGGGGGGGGGGGTACAAGATTTCTTACTTCTGTTTGTAGATCAAACATTCTACACTACTTTTTAGTGAGAATGAGTTTCAATGATCTAAGTTCCGTACATCGTCAAGTACCAGTTTCAAAATCTAGACCAAACAGGACACAGGGAGATGCCTTGTTGTTATCATTGACATCAAAACTATCTGTAGTAAACGTCAACTTGTCTCCAGACTTTGTATTTTTGTCTTATCTATTGTGCTTCTGTAATTTTGACTAAATTTTCAAAATTTAATTTGCCGTGGTCATGTCTTCTGGCAGTTTTTAAATTTTTCTTGAAAATGGGAAACTTACGAGTTCATGGAAGGATGTGTCTGTGTGTAAAATATCTTTTATCTTGGAGATACCATTTACAAACACGGTCGACTGGCATTCATGGTCTCTAGTCTCATCGAGTTGCAAAAAATGGTTATGGTTTTCATGGACTAGTTTGACAGTTCCAAAACTTTGAGATTTCATCACCGAGAAATTCTTTGCCATCAGAGCTCTGTAATCCTCTGTAAGGTCGTCGTTAATGAGTGAGAAGATGACAAAAAGCAGAACCAGCAAGGAGAAACTGAAATGAAGAGTGTTCGACGTTTACATGAGGATGGGTATGAGTGGATGTTCCAAAAACAACAGGTGCTTGTTATGATTAATCTAATGTGCTTCGTGTCTGAAGTTGTTACAGTGGTTTGAACTACTTCAGAAAGATCTTAAAAGGTCGCTTAAAAGCTCGGTCGAACGTTCAAAATTGGCTGCATGTAATGCATTTTTTAAAAATATAGTATAGACTTTTGGATAGACTTTTTCTTTCTTTTAACGATACAAAATTTTATAGTATTGTGACTTTTACAACAAAGGGCTGGGGTGGAGGTAAAGATTTTTGTCCTTACATGTATATGTAAAAGGCACTTTTCAAGCTTTAAGCAAATAAACGGATGTGACTACTCATGGTAGATATCTGATATGCCTTCTTTACGCAAATCAAAAATTGTTTATATTTGCATTCATTTTTCCAACAGTAGTCTCCTTGTCATTTTATTTACAGACGATGTAAGGGTTCTTGTGAGAAAAAAATTTCCATTAGTATGATTCTGAGTCCTTTAACATTGGACATAATCCCAGCAGGTGTATAATAAAACAACTGCTATCTTCTACACCAAACCTGAAGCTATGGATAATCATTCAACAACAGGGCTTTATTCTGTGAAGTATAGTGTGTGTCTTCATAAATTAAAAAGAATGGGTTATAATTCTGTTGTCCAGTTAGTACTAAGTATATTGTCTAGAGACTAAAAAACAAAGTATTGTCACCTTTGAAATAAGAATAAAATGTTATATATGATAATAATGTAACGCTAATATAAGGAGCACATAAAGTGAGGACGATTAAAAAGGAAGCATCCGAAAATGATAACCCCACTCTTCCTGCTCTGAGTTAAATATGATATCAATATTAAATAGATATTGGTCTTGATATCAAAAAAAAAAAAAAAAAAAAAAAAAAAAAAAAAAACAATAAAGAAGAATTTTTCTAGGTACATGGTATTGTAGGACTTAATAGAGCAAAAGTTTTTACATTTGCATTTTACAACTGCAATTTTTTTTACACTGTTCATTGCTATTCACTGTTCAGTAGGTTCAGAAACCATACTTATACGTACTGTAATGACGTGCATGATGTACGTATTTGGGAAACAGCACTATAACCTCGGCCATACAATTGCATAGCTAAAGCTATAGATGAAGGAAAACACTGTTGTATGGTTTATTGTGATTTGTCTAAGGCATTTGATCGGGTATGGCATTAATAGAATCATTCATTACTACGAGTGTGGGATAGTGAAATTCCACCAAGGGGACAAGATTCACGGTCTAGGACGAGGCTTTGCCGAGTCCTAGACCGTGAATCTTGGCCCCGAGGTGGAATTTCACTATTCCCACACGAGTATGTAATGAATGATTATTTTTCTCGCATTATTTTATCCAAAATAATGGCCTGTCAATGACGTCGCCATGATAGGGCTAAAAATATATTCTTTTAATTTTCCATCTAATTAAAAATCTAAATACACCAACGGAGAGAGCGTACCTGAAAATGGTTTACACATGGTGTAAACTGATAAAATGAATTTCAGTACATGTAAATTAATTAGATAGATAAAAACTGGGAATTAAAAAACTTATCTATCCGATAGCGTACACATTCATTCAAGAAGAATCCTTCCGCGATCTAAAATTAGTGCCATTTAAAAAGTGAATATACGACAATATTTTGAATGAAAATAAGTTTATCTTAATAAGTTAAATGACAACATTTTAAGTATATGTAATATTTTTTAACATTGTTACAATTTCTTTATATAAAGACGGAATGTTTACGTTATCGTTCGCGGCGTAGTAATACACAGTGTAAGACAGAAAAATCTCACACTGCTGTCTCACACCGGACAAGTCAATCTTACACTGGTGATTATGCGAGAAAAAGATCTTCTATTTAAGTTACAAACTTATGTGTTAGCGATAAATTATTGCTATGGTTTCAAAGTTATTTAGATTTAAGGACACAAAGGGTATTGCATAGGAATACTATGTCTAATTTTAAATCTTTACATGCTGGAGTCACTCAGGGGTCTGTATTGGGACCACTTTTATTTTTGATATACACTGTATGTCAATGATGTTGCTGAAAATATGTCGAGTTTAAGCAGGTTGTATGCTGATGATAATTCTTTACAGAACTGTTCTGAAAATATACATATTCAAGTAGGATTGAATTATGATTTAAATCAACTTGAACAGTGGTCTAAACAGTGGCTATTGAAATTTAATCGTTCGAAAACCAAAGCTATCTTTTTTAGTACTAAGAAAAATGTCGATCTACCAAGGCTTAAATTTCAGGACTGTTATTTAGATTTTGTATCATCACACAACCACTCAGGTATTCTCTTTTCACACGACCTTACATGGTCAGCGTACATTGATTCTATCGTTGCCAATGCATATAAAAAATTAGGTCTACTTAAAAAATTGCAGTTCAGGGTAAGTGCTAAAACTTTATCTCTTTTATATACTACTTTTATAAGACCTCAGTTAGAATACGCAACTGAAGTTTGGTGTGGGTGTTCTAGTCAAGATTCCGAAAAACTAGAAAAATTACAGTTAGCAGCAGCAAGAATAGTCACTGGATTAACTTTTTTGGCATCGCGAGATTCTCTCTATTTTGAAACTGGATGGGAACCACTTGCTATTAGAAGAATGTCCAAAGTTAGAACAACTATGTATAAAATTTTTCATAATATGGTACCCGAGTATCTGAAAGAAATATTTCCAAACATTCGATCACACGAATCAAATTACGTAACAAGACAATCACAAAATTATTGCATCCCTAAGTGTAGATTAAATATTTATAAATCATCTTTTGTCCCAATGGCAATAAGGGAATGGAACTCTTTACCTCTTGAAACAAGACAATCCACTACTATAGGTTCCTTCAAAAATTGTATAAACTCTCAAAAAACACCTACTCCTGCCTTTTTTCTTTTGGTGTTCGTTACTGGAATGTAATTCATTCTAGATTAAGACACAATTGCGTTCTGAATAAAGATTTATTTAGGTGCAACATCATTGACAGTCCATTATGCACTTGTGGAAAAATAGAAGACGCATATCATTACTTTTTCTTTCTTGTGCGAAATACACTGTCCCAAGAAACGATTTGTTTAATGCTATTTTTAGAATGATTAATTTACGTATTGTAGACACTCACGTACTGTTATGGGGAGATGATTCGATTAGCATTTCTGAAAATGAAAGTTTATTTTTAAATGTGCAATTGTTTATTAAGAGAACTGGTCGTTTTTTGAATTTATATATTTAGATTCATTTGTACATACTACATCAAATCAATTTTGTACATGCATAATCTATGTAAGATAATCATATTGACCTTTGGTTCCAGTGTAGTTTAATTTTAACATTATTTTGTGTAATTAATTGTTATAAAGGAGAGGACGTTCTAAGTTTTAAGAACTTGTGTCCGATCCTTTTGTTGTAATATCTAAACAATAAAATATGTTCAAACCATCCTCGGCCAATTTCGCATTATTCCTGTACTTAAGAAAAACAACGCCTTTTATTTATTTGCCTAACCCCCATCTCCCATTCTGATACCAGTGATATACAGAAAATTTTAAGGACATACGAAAATTGCGACAAAATAAACTTTAAAAACAAGCATTTTCTTTTAATTACAGGAATGGTCAACATATAACCTACAACTTACATTAAATAAAAGTATGTATTTACGAAGTACGAAGCTGTTTTCAAAGGCGGGGGACATCACAATTTCTTGAATCTATGTACAATAATGAGGATGACCACTTTTTCACTGACTTTATACATAGTCAGCGCATGTTTGTCTATTGTTCTCCGTTTAACAGTAGCTGTATATTTGCATTATTAATCTTGTGTCAAAAGGAGATTAATAGACAAACATGCGCTTATGGTTTAAAAGAAAAAAAAACTGCTTCTTCTTACATTTGCTCTCTCTGTTGTAACCAAGGGCTGTGACATGTTGAATATTATAAGTCACCACGCGATTTCTTACCTCAGGTAACTCTGTGAATACTAAATTCCGTCACGTGACTTGTAAAATAGCATATTTTGTGCAACATAGGACACTGTTTTCGAATACGTTGAATTGTCAGGCATCGAATCAAAATATATTTCACTTGTGTGCGTGCTGATATTGTTAATTTCGTTTTGAAACCTTTGTAAATAATGTACTTGTGCCATACAGGATAAAGAGGGAGATGGGAAAGAACGTTCGCGTATTTTTAAACATGTCATTGTTATTTATCTAGTCTAATTTTAGAGTCATTCTTACAAAGTTAGCTCGCCTTCTCTTGCAAACTTTGTTTAATCAAGGGCAGGTAAGTGTAAATTCTCTTTATTTGGAAAGCAGTAGGGATTGTATGTTGTTTTACGCCCCATTCAAAAAATTTTCACTCATTTAGAGACGTCACCATATACCGGAGAAGGGCTTCAAATTTATACCTTTACTCGGCACTGAGGGCCATTGAGCAGTGTAGGTTCTTTATCGTGCCAACGCCTGCCGTGACACGGGACCTCGGTTTTTAGTGTCTCTTCCGAAGGACCTACAACTTTCACTGCAAAGTGCCGAGCGCTTGGCGAAGGAACAGCTGCTACCTATTTTTTATCGACTTAGATCAGTCGCGGCCGTGATTCGAGCACACGACCTTCCGATCACGGAGCGAGCGCTCTACCGACTGAGCTACCATGACGGTGAAAGCAGTAGAGAAAAGGAGCATTGAATCATTTTATTTTATCACAGTCTAAAATCATTTTAAGGTTTAAATTTGGTGCCAAATTGACATCTAGATCTCTAGGAAATATACAAAAGTGAAATAAGGATTAGATATAAAAGCAACAGAAGCGACGGAAAAAGACCCAAAACTACGAAAGCCCAGAAGGCTCATTCGAGATTCGAGTTTCGAAATACGAGATTCGAAATTCGAGTTTCGAGATTCAGAATCCAAACCAACCAAT